CTGAAAGGATTTTGAAGGTAGGAATCTAGGACCGAAAGTGGGCACCATTTGTTGTGGGTAGGATAGTATGTTATCTCTACTGTTGGTGCATGTTGACTCATTTCGGAATGTGGTAGAGCCAATAGGTAATGATATATGTGTTTACGTACGTGGGATCGTTGAAGACAATGATCTGTCTGAGTGGTGGTGATGGTAGTGGATTCTCTGGCCTGAGAAAGGCATAAAAGGCAATGTGCATGGCTGGTAATGGCCGACTTGGTAGTATAATTGAATGGTTGTAGATCTAATAGGTCCGATAAGGATGAACAGTTGGATGGCTATTGGTAATCTCTGAGAGGAACGTGGGGAATGGATTCCTGAAAACCTCTGAGTATATTCTTTTCTGGTATGATAGCATGAAGTTTATGGTAGTTTTGGCCATAGGTTATCATGTGTTGTTGAATGCCTGTAAAATATATAATTAATGGTGTATGAGATAGTTTAAGGTGGCAAAAATAAGCAAAACTTAGGAGAAATTTTGTGACACAGGTTGAGCTATGTCGTGTTCCAATGAGATTCTTTAAGCCAGGTGAAAAGCTGTGTTATGCGTTCTACAAGTATGGGACGAAAGTGCTAGGTGGGATAGTGCATGCTATGCTGCATGAGTATGTCTAATCCATGATTTTGTCTCTGGAACGAAAGAGTGGACGTGACTGTATGGGCGGCTGTAGGAAGCGTATGATGAACATGCCTGGAATATAAATGAGACAGTTGTCGGCAGGGATGTATACCCCCGTCTGGTACATGAAAGTGAAATGTGATAAGTGGCCAACCAAGTGAGTTCCCCAGAAACATCATGAACTTATGGATGAGTAGTGGCGTTTGTTGATGATATGATATGTGCTTAGTTGTCTGAGTAACAACGGATTGATGACCCTGACCATGATTTACCCCATGCCACAGCAGCTGCTACAATGGGGTAGATCTCCCAAAGGGGCTGAAGTGGTGGAAAAATTCCAAACCTGGATGCCATGGCCAACAGCCCCAAAGCAATTGTTCCCGGTAGATCGCTGCCAAACCCGTGGTATACGCTGCGTCTGACCATCTGGTTGGAGAAGTGTCAGACAATCCTGGAAGGAACATGCTTTTACCATGCCAAGTGGTTAAGAAATCCCCCCCCCATGTGCAGGTCTGCTGTTGCTGAGGTGTCTAGGCACCTCCTCTGATCGTCATGTTGGAAGTGTGGAAAAAAGGGGAAAGTACTCTGGATGTGAAAGCGTGGTCTTGTGGTATGATTGGCATGGCAAAATTAAGGAACCTGGTAGGGATTGTAGTTCCTTGTAGTTGTAAGTACTAAGCAGGAGATAGTGATTGATTTAGTTGAGAATGTTCCCTATTTGTCTTGTGGTAACTTGCGTGTATGGATGCCGACTCAAGTCATATGCCCAGTAATGTGATGATAGCGTCTGTGCCTTCTGTTTCTTATGGGGTACTGGGACGCCCAAGTGGTCAACCAGACTAAACTGCCATGAGGCTTCTAGTGAAAAATATGCTTTCTTTGAGCAACAAGAAGTCTTCTAGATAGTGTATGACTGTAATGCCTCTGGATATGTTATCATAACCAGCACAGAGTATCTGCGAATATCGATAGTAGGTTAATCTGTAGCTCGAAAGTTGAGCAGGGAAAGGATTGCCCAATTTATGCCATGTAAGTGCCAGTGTGTAGGGTAGATGGTAGCTGTTTACTGCGTTGATGATATTGGTCTTACTTAACCAAGCTTTAACCCATGCTTGAGTGATAGCTGTAAAGGTAGATCAATGGTGTTGTATAGTAAGAAGGGAGTTGAGACTTGGGTAGCGGAGGTGTGTGGTGCCAATAAGTCTATGGTTAGTCTTTGTTTAAGGGAAGATTCCTTGTGACAATACCAATGTGTGTGTTTGGTGCCATGCTGTAAATGGTGGAGATTGGAAGACCACTCTGCAAATCTTGGCTATGAGTGTGTTTTTAGCCAATGGTTTTGTTGTGCTGACTGTAAGTGAGGGCATGCTATATTCCTTGAAGGTGTGTTTATGATACCTGTATGGGAGCCCTTTGAAGCTCCAGAGCTTTAATAAATCTACTACAAGTCTGGAAGGGTGATGAGTCAGTAGTGTTGAAAATGCATTGGTGTGTACAGATGGTGAGTACGTTATTTGTAAGTTGTATTGGGCCACATGGTTTGTCATGTGCCCTGAACCATTTGAACATATATGCAACAGTCTATATGCAATGCAACTACTCATATCAATCGTCTCTGGTAGTTCAGAGGTGCTGGTACCTGGAGCCTGAGAGTGCTCGTCCATTGTTTGGGACAGAACCCCTTCTGTATGGGTACCTGCACAAATAAACATCTCTACATATTCCAAATACCAACCCATCCAAGAGATGGTCAGTTCCCGATTTTCCTGGAATCCCTGAATCTGACCATCACAGATACATCATCATACATATATATATATATGCCTTGCTTCCCCAATGTGCTGGGATCATACGTGCAGGGTTAACATCTTGTGTGTCATAAGAATTGATTGTACCAGGTAACCGAGTTTCGGTTGGTGCTGGTTGTACAGTAACGTGAGGCCTAGCCTTGTGAGGGCTGTGGTGACCAACTCGAGATTGCCAGTCTGTCATAAAAATTTTTGGCTCATGAGTTTATGAGTGAGGCTAGCATAGCCTGGGTGTCACCTGAGTTGATGTAGCTGGGCCTTCCCCTGCCTCCGTGTTGTCCGTTGATGTATGGAGGAGTTTGAATAACTCTGCTTTCCTTGCTGTAGCAGGGTAGGGGATTTGTCACCTCCTTAGGTCGGTGGAAATGTGTGGGATCATCCAGGATCTGATTGCTGCAGGACTAGCAACATCTCCTCTGCTTGAATGTGTATCAATTCTAGCCGGGGTGCTAGGAAGAGGTGATTCTTCACCATCTTTTGGAAAAATACTTAAATAACAATAAAGATGCAATTATTTGTACCCAGGGTTCTTGTACTGGCTTGCTAGCTAAGCCGTAAGGCGAAACGATTAGGCTTGGTGTTTTTTGGTGACTGGTGAGGCCCTGCTAGTTGCCAAGTGGCTTGAGAGGCTCTATCTATGCTTGGCGCGAGGGGATTTTGTGTGGCCACCGAACATTGTGGCAGGATGTTGGCCTCTCGGTGACAGTAACCAGAAAATAGGAAGGGGAGTGACAGGTGAGGCCCTCTCTATGATACAATGCGAGGCGGCTAGCTCACGAGTGGCCCGAGGGGTGTATGCCTCCGAGTGTGAGGCGGGGTGTTGGCCTCGCGGGACCACTAACCGAAGCATAATGCAGAGAAAAAAGGGGGTAATACCTATTGGGCCCTAGAACCCTAATTGCCAGTACACTATTACTATTCCAGGGAAGGTAAGAGATGGATAACTACGTGAGCAGGTGTATGTACCTGGTAGTATGGTATTGAACCTGACAATCCGTATAGGTTTTTTAGTAGTAACTGTAACCTGAATGGATAAAACCGCATGGCATAAGGAAATATGGCATAGACCAAGCTTATCTTAATACGTACAGTATATGTGAAAAGTAAAGTGCCATGATGTGTAAATATTAAACGTCGTAGCCATACTGGTTAAATATGTATCAATCTTAACCCATTAAGTGCCGTATGTACAAGTGAAAATGTGGTCTGTCCCCACCTTGTATGTTGTATGTCCCCTTGCTAGGGGAAAGTCTGTTGCGTGAGCAGCGTGCTGTGAAAAATGTATGTGAACTATATTACCAGTTACATATATACAGATGCATCTGCTACTGTGTAATAATATATGTATTTATACCTGATGTTGATATAGTGCTTGCTATGTGAATTGTTGTATGTCTTATTGAATGGTAGGGGTCAGTGAACATGGTGTTGCAAAATGCAAGTGCACTGAAGATCTGCCGAGTGCCCTATAGGTGGCAGTGTAGTTGGATACTGATTGGTATGTGAAATGTTGTTTGTCTGTTGACCTATAGGTGTAAGTGTTTTGGTGTTTGTAAAACCCCATGAAAATTGTCAATGTACTTGACAGACCTGTAGGTGGCAGTGTTGATAGAACTACTGTTGGTCTTGATGTGAAATGTAAATTATTGTGAATTAAACCTGAATTTGAGCCCGTGCTGGAGTTTCATTTATGGTTTATGGTTATGTTTAACCCCGTAAGGAACAAACTTCTGGAATAAAAGGGAATCATGACACGTCACACATGTCTTGTGTCCTTAAGGGGTTAAAACAATCTTATGTGTAATTTATATTGGCTGGTAAATTGTATATGACATGTGAAGACAGTCTTGCTGTTGACCAGTAGGGGTCATAAATGCTGATTGTATGGTAAAAATACCCTTTAACCCCTTAAGGACCAAACTTCTGGAATAAAAGGGAATCATGACATGACACACATGTCATGTGTCCCTAAGGGGTTAATCCTACCGTATGACAGATAGGAGTCAGTATAAAAGTGAAAATGCTGTAGTTAGTTTGTTTACTTATGAAGTGAAATAAAGTCTGAGAAGACTGTAGTATACCGATTGACCGGTAGGGGTCAGCATGTAGGCGAAAATGCCGTGGTTCGTTGGTTTGTACATGAAATGCAATAATGTCTGAGAAGCCTGTAGTACACTGAATGACCGGTAGGTGTAAGTGTGTAGGTAAAAATGCAGTGGTTTATTGTTTTGTACATGAAAAGCAATAATGTCTAAGAAGCCTGTAGTACACCGAATGACTGATAGGGGTCAGTATGTAGGTGAAAAATGCAGTGGTTTATTGTTTTGTACATGAAAAGCAATAATGTCTAAGAAGCCTGTAGTACACCGAATGACTGGTATGTGTCAGTGTGTAGGTGAAAATGCAGTGGTTTATTGTTTTGTACATGAAAAGCAATAATGTCTAAGAAGCCTGTAGTACACCGAATGACTGATAGGGGTCAGTATGTAGGTGAAAAATGCAGTGGTTTGTTGGTTTGTACCTGAAATGCAATAATGTCGGAGAAGCCTGTAGTACACAGAATGACCGGTAGGGGTCAGTGTGTAGGCGCAAATGCAGTGGTTCGTTGATTTGTACATGAAATGTGATAATGTCTAAGAAGCCTGTAGTCCACCGAAAGACCAGTAGGGGTCAGTGTGTAGGTGTAAATGCAGTGGTTTATTGGTTTGTACATGAAAATGCAAACAACGCCTAAGAAGCCTGTAGTACATCGAATGACCAATAGGGGTCAGTGTGTAGGTGAAAAATGCGGTGGTTCGTTGGTTTGTACATGAAATGCAATAATGTCTGAGAAGTCTGTAGTACACCGAATGACCGGTAGGGGTCAGTGTGTAGGCAAAGATGCAGTGGTTCGTTGGTTTGTACATGAAATGCGATAATGTCTAAGAAGTCTGTAGTACACCCAAAGACCAGTAGGGGGTTTAAACGAATGATATGCATGAACATGCAATGGTTTTAGAACAGACTTAGACAAAATGCAGCAGTAAAGTGAGGATCTGACCCTTGCATGGTGCCGTGGGACTGATGCCTGGCGTAATGGGTAGGTCAACTTACGGTTTGTGAGTCACTTGGACACCATCCACAGCGATAGATTGAAGAAAGAAGGTGGTAGGCCGGAAAAGCCTGTGGCTGAATTCCTGACACAGCTCAGCTTAGAAAACCTCATGGAGTAATCAGGTAAAATGGTGTCTGGATGACCCGGAAGTGGAAATCATTCTGATGCTGACCTCAAGCGATATGAGTCAGGTAAGGGGTGTCCCTTATATAGGGGAGTGAATTAATTTAAGCCCCTCCCACAAATACAGGCAAACTGCCTTAATACATATATATATATATATATATATATATATATATGTATATATATATATATATATATATATGTGTATATATATATATATATATATATGTGCATATATATATATATATATATATGTGCATATATATGTGTATATATGTGTGTATATTAGTTAATACATTGCTAAACACAAATACACACACCAGTCAAGCCATAAGACTTGCTTTTCCCACAGAAATCTCACTTTAACAGTGCTCACTACTGCAAGGGATTCTGGGTAGGTGTATGCAAATGAGCTCAACAAAGAACCAAATTTTTGCCTCGTAAGAGGAGCAAAGCCAGTAACAAACCTCTTGTTGATGAGTTGCATTAACAACGAAACTGCTGTCCATGAGTGGTTCACTCGCTTTGCTCCTCTTCCTGAGTTGTTCCAAAGTTGTTATATACAGCAGACACATTCTCCAAGGAATGCATGGATAAAGTGGAATTATGAGGCAAAAATGTGGTTCTTTGTTGAGCTCATTTGTATACGCCTACCCAGAATCCCTTGCAGTAGTGAGCACCGTTAAAGTGAGATTTCTGTGAGAAAAGCAAGTCTTATAGCTTGACTGGTGTGTGTATTTGTGTTTAGCAATATATTAACTATCCACTTCAGGTGGAAGGGGTTTTCATCCACACTTCCCCTCCCTCTGCCCCTCCCCTCCCCCACCACCACCACAACTCTGTTGGTATGTATTATATATTGGTCTACTAGGTATGCCTGACAAAAACGGTCCTTAAGTACAGTGGATGTCTGTGGCAAATAATTACTTACTCGATTGCCAGCGCGTTCATAAGGACTGTTTTTGTCAGGTTGTACCTAGTACGTCCACAGTCCTTAAGGAGTTAATATTAATTTTTTTTTTTAGTGTTTTTGAAATTTTTTTGTGTATATATTTATATAGTCATACCAAATGTATTTTTATAATATATGCATATATTAATATAAAATACACTTAGAATTACATATATAATGTGTGTGTGTATATATATATATATATATATATATATATATATATATATATATATATATATATATATATGTATATTATAAAATATAAGTAATGTATGTAATTTTATCCTAACTGTATTTTGAGAGATATATATCAAAATACACGTAGAATGAAATTATATATGTATATAAATAAAATAGGAAATATATATCCATATACATATTTACATAAATAATTTCATAAATGTAGACGTCAAATATATAAATACGTATATATTTAAATTCTATATGCATATTTTTGTAATATTTTTACATCATTCAATTTTATTGATTGCAATTTGGACAACCCCGGCAGAAAGTCCAGATAATTTTATTTGCCAGCACTGTATTCAACCCTGTAACTTTCCATGACACACTAAAACCTGTACATTGGGGGTACTCTTTTACTTGGTAGACTTCGCTGAGCACAATGTTTAGTGTTTCAAAACGGTAAAACCTATCACAGCGATGATATTGTCAGTGAAAGTGATGTGTTTTTTTGCATTTTTCACACACAAACTGCACTTTCACTGATATTGTTGTGATAAGTTTTACTGTTTTGAAACGCTAATATTTGTGTTCAGCAAAGTCTCCCGACTATAACAGTACCCCCCATGTATAGGTTTTAGTGTTTCTGAAAGTTACAGGGTCAAATAGAAGGCTTTATTTTGTTTTTTTTACATTGAAATTTGCCAGATTGGTTACGTTGTCTTTGAGAGCATATGGTAGCCCAGGAATGAGAATTACCCCCATGATGGCATATCATTTGCAAAAGAAGACAACCCAAGGTATTGCAAATGGGGTATATTCAGTCTTTTTTTTTTTTTTTTTTTTTTTTTTTTTTTTGTATTTTTAACACACAAACAAGTGTAAATGCTTACTTTGGCCAGTGTTTGTGACTACTAAAAAAAACTGGACACCCCCCATATTGAATACCCTGGGTTGTCTACTTTTAAAAAATATGTACAATATGTACATGTGAGGTGTGATTCCGAGATTTGACAGTTAACAGTGTTACAATGTCACTACTGATAAATTTTAAAAATATATATTTTGAAACTGCAATGTCCTACTTGTACTTATAGCCCTATAACATTCCTAAAAAAAGCAATGGGTATTTCTAAACAAAATGTAGAAACTATTTAGCACAAGTGTTTTTTTGGCTGTTGTAGATGCATAACAGATTTTGGGGGTCAAAGTTAGAAAAAGTATGGGGTTTTTGTTTTTTTTCATCATATTTTATAAAAAATATTTTTATAGTAAACTATGATATGATGAAAATAATGGTATCTTTAGAAAGACCATTTAATGGTGAGAGAAACTGTGTATGTGTGGGTACAGTAAATGAGTAAGTGGGAAATTACAGCTAAACACAAACACCGCAGAAATGTAAAAAGAGCCCTGGTCCTTAACGGTAAGAAAATTGAAAACGGTCTGGTCACTAAGGGGTTAAAACACTGCTTTTGGTTGTAGTAACCCTTTAAGGAATAGGAAGGTGCATGTTATTACCTAAGCATCTGAGAGCTGAGGTTTTGCTGGAAATCTAGATGTTTGTTAAAGGAATACTATAAGTGCCAGGAATACAAAGCTGAATTCCTGGCACTATAACCACTATAGATAGCTGACGTTGGATGTTGTTGTGCTAAGCGTGATGTTGTCTAGCATTGTTTGGTGGACCAAAAGTCCGCTAAGGACCTGGACACTCCTCTAGTTGCTGTCAATGAGATGAAGAGGTCTGAGTGCCTATACTGTCCCTTTAAGGAATGAGCCATAAAAATATTAGTTTTCATATTGCTTAGAATATGCGAACAGATTTCAACAAACTTTCTAGCAAACACATTGTCTGTGCAAAGTAACTGTCAGGCAGAATGAGATGTGTCCATGAGATCCACAAAGAGCTGTGTAATGCTTTCACACACACCTACACGTCAAGGTTTGTTTCTCGGTCTGTTCTTGCTGAGAAACGGGCAGGTGTATCTACTATAACTAGCTCTAGTTCGTTTTAAGTGGATCTGTTTCCTGTAAGATTTTCTTTTCTCATTAAGTTTAGTTGCAGAAATTGCCTCCAGTTTTTATTTAATATTTTTTCCTCAAGTTGTGTAATAGTTGAGATATTAGTTCATTGGGAGCTATTGTTCAGCAGCAGCATCCTGCAGCCCATCAAAGGGTCACAATAAATGGAAGGGAAGAAAATCAGTCTTACAGATTTGATGCACCTAATAAGCTGAGCCTTTGGTAAGGTGACACTCCACTGCTCATATACAAACTTGAGTATATTTGCCACTATAGAAAACACACATTCATTTTTGAGCGTATATCCAAAAACAGTTTCTAAACTCTGCAGAATTCTTGTCTATAACAGCATTTGCAAGCCCCCCCTTCTAACCCTCCCCCCAGACATGCTGTGGCTGTCCAATCACAGACTTCCCAATGCAGCTCAATGAGAAGTCTTTGCAAGGCAGGTGTTCTGGGTAGTTACTTCCTGGTTGTTTAACTCAGTAGGGCTAAACTCAAGAGGCAGCAACAGGACTGGTTATCAGACAGCCAGGGGGATTTAACAAAGTTAATTTATAGAAGTGCCAATTTCTATTGAAATCTGCACTTTTGTAAAATTAAAAAATACGGCCTAGCAGCAGAAGCGAGCGTTCGCATAGCTCCGGATAACAAAGCCTTTCTAAGCCTGTTCCTCACTACGAATCCTGTCGAAACAGGGTGCTCAGGGCTCCCGTGGACCCGATGGGGCGGAAAACAAAAAAAGAAACCAGAGAAGCCCAGGTTTGGGGCGACAATAGGGGATTTGTGGCGGCAGGCCCAAGACGCACGCGGACCTAAAATGGCGTCCCTCGGGGATGAGTGCTTCGACTTCTCTGACGACCTGTCATACGAACAGGTAGAGAGCACTTTCCCCGCTCCAATCCAGCAGCCAAAGCCTCACACAGCGTCCTCACAAACAGGTACAGATGCAGATACTGCCCCGGTCACCACTGCAGTCCTAAAAGACCTGTTGGCAGACCTACATAGGAAGATCTCTGCAGATATGACAGCACTGAGGTGAGACCTGCAGGGTTTAACTGGCAGGATAAGCAAATTAGAACTCACCTCCACCAAGGGCACCCAGCAGATAGAATCACTACAGCAAGCAGTCAAGGTGCTGCAACAACAGAACCTAAATCATGAACACCGCTTCGCTGCCCACAAGGATGCCAGGCACCGAAACAATCTTAAAATACGAGGAGTCTCAGACAACCTACCTGAAACCGAATTGACGCACTTCGCGAGGCGCCTACTCTTGACCCTGCTGACGCCGAAAACCACCAAAACAGTAATATTCACAAACCTGTTCAGAGTACCCCGGCCAACCAGAGCATCAACCACTGCCTCTAGGGATGTTCTACTCCAATTCCCAAATGGCACAGACAAAAACGCGGTGCTGGCCGCCACGAAGGGGCAGACCCAATATCATTTTGAAGGGATGGACTTGACACTCTTCACAGATCTCTCGGCGAACACCCTAGCATGGAGACGCACCTTCAGTCCACTCACTACTCTCTTGTGACAACACACCATTCAATACAGGTGGCGACCCTCCCGAGCTGTATCAGTCCCCCACGGAGACAAGACGCTCACGATCCACATGGCAGCAAGACTCTCCTCCAGAAATTGTGACTCCCTACTGCAGCACTGACCCAAGGAGAACAGAGCATAGAGCCCAGGAAAAGTCACACGTGGAACCCGGCAGGGGCCCCCACATTTGTCCTAAGAACATCTACACCGGACTCATACGCTCTAGCCACAACCTGCAGGACTGACCCCAAAGGAGACAACCTACTGCATATCTTTCAGTGCACACCACTAGATGAGTATACTACACCTAGTAACATGGGCACAGCCGCTACAGTATAATAGACATGACCCCCCACCCCAGGCCACCAACAGAATACTGGGAGACACATCCCCCCCCCCCCATCAAGAAACTACCATGTGAAGGAAATATACCACGGGCGCACAACACATACACACCAGGGCCCCACAACGAACTCTGTCACTAACTATGTCCTTTCAGTCACCACACAAGTTTGCTGTGTCCATGAGCGTACACACCCTCTCTGCAGCACGCAACACACAAGCCACCAGGGCAAAACAACGCCACACATGGGACATACACTAGCTGTGAATCTCAACCGGTTCTTAAGTTCAATAAGCACATCGGGCAGACCTCTAGGGTATCCTGCCACGGTTCACCTCTGTGCCAGATAATGGGACCCCAATCTAAGCAAACCAATCTAGCATTAGCCTACCTCTATGGGCTCTTAAGCTAGCCCATCCTAAGACGCACATTGCATTCACCGACCGACTTGAGCCTACCCTTATAGAACGAAGTAGAATGGGTTACCGCTTGCATACTAACACAATGATGCTGCAACTATTACTACTACACGTTTCATGTTTGCTATATGTCTTTAATACTATTTGAATACTCTTCTCACAGACGTATAAGATGTTGCCGCATTCATTATTGCTCTACCGAATAACCCATCCTAAATTGTTAGCCTACAATATCTATTAATTGCTTTTTGATCTGGAAATGTTTAATTAGCCTGTTACTTACTACTACAAAAATGTGCAGTACTACCACTTGCCATGTACAAGTCTCTTGTTATTGCGTTTGTGGCTGCTGTTGTGGCAATGCAAACGCCAATGTATCACAAAATGCACAACAAAAATAAGGAATTAAAAAAAAAAAAAAACTCTTTACACATAAGTGTTTGGAGTGTCCCTTTATGTATTTCAAATTCTTTCTGAAACATTCAGATCTTTGCATTTTTTTTTTTTTTGGCTAACCTAAGACTGCACATGCGATACTTATTTGTTGCACTCGAAGTTGCGATCTGAAAAGAAAACATACATGTAAAATGTGTAACCAGGACTGTGTTCAGTAAATAGGAACACTTGGAAGGTGTGCCTTACAGCACATGTAATAGTACTTACAGATATCTGTTCTGGTTGAGAGAATGCTATGCCTTACTGAAGTATATGTAAATTAATTTAGTATTTTCTATATGTAGATTAATGGTATTTCAGTCTGTTTCACCAGAACCTCAGTGAGTTTGTTTATACTGTCTAATCTAGTTTATTTTAGGTTCCTATGTTTAGGATGCTGAATACCTAGATTTGAAAAGTTACCAAGCATCTTGGGTTATATAGTTCAAGAACTAATAGGGTGCTAGGGGAAGCCATCACTGAAGGATGTTTAATGTGTTTAACACCATCAGTGTTTTCAGATTTTCGCTGTGCACACCTGTTACTTTCTCGAGTCATTTCAAGATCTCGGTGCTCATGATTGTCGGAAAGGCTCATGTTATTCAGATGAGATCTCTGCATGCTAACACAGACAGTTGGTACTGAATGTTAACTGTGCCTTGTCAAAACAATGACTCAAATTGCTAGGCTTTTTTTTTTTTTATTATTATTAATGCATGTATTTTGAGATTCTGCTTGTTGTAAGCTATTAATAGAGCTGTGCTTTTAGTTTTATCTATTTCTAAGAAATCTAATACTATTGGTTAGTTGTGTAGAATAGTGTGAAGATTTGTTTAACCCCTTAAGGACCAAACTTCTGGAATAAAAGGGAATCATGACATGACACACATCATGTGTCCTTAAGGGGTTAAACTTCTGCAGGTTTCGTGACGTGGCAAGCCACAATCATGAATCCTATATAAATATTTTTCTATGGGCACTTCTTATCTTAAATTATTAGGTCTGTGGAATATTTAACCAAGATTATTTATATTGCAAGTAAGCGATTAGTCCTTATAAATATTAGAATGGTCAATGATGTCATGTTGACCTGCTGTCTGCTTCATTTCAGTTGTCTATCTGGAGCAGAGATCCATTAGCGAGTTTTCTATAATGAACATGGATGTACACTTTACATGATTCCTTATAATAACAAAAAATCTTGCTCTGAGATAGATGTTTCCTTTCTAAACCTGTCCAAATTGGGACTAACCCTTTGTGGGCAGAGTTAGAGCAAAGCATGGAGTTGCACATCCCCTCCATACACACGATCTCTCATGTCTATCTTTGATCGATTTACAGATAAGTATTTAGATACTTATCAGAACAGATAAGAAGCAATCAAGAAATCATTGATGTGCAAACTGTAAATTTTAATTCAAAGTGGCAAAAATTGTATAAACTGTTGAAAATTACAATTGTATACCTAGCCCTCCCCCATTTTCAGGGCTCATCAATAAACATTATTGACCCAGTTCCTTTGGCAGAGATACTAGCCCATGCCATGGCATTGACTCTACCATGCTTCACGTTGCAAACATATCCATGTGATATGTTTCAGATCACTCTGATTAAGCCAATGCAGCTTTGTTGGAAAAGCAACGTTTTGACTCCAGCCATCACAAGTTACAAATCACCCAAACCATAGATATAATATCATGCCAAATACTACAGCCTGCTTTCAGATATGTCCCAGCATTAAAATCACATCTTGTGCAAACCCCTAGTAACTGTTGATTTTTGTTGCATCTGTCCAAAGATTATTGTTCCAGATCTTAGCAAGTTTGTTTTATGTTTAAATGATGATCAAATTTGGCTTTCCTATTCCTTGAGGTCTGAACTTTAAGCTCAAATTATTATTACATAACTTCTGCTCCATTACCCCCACCCCTCAAACAGATTGAATCACTGTAACTTTATCAATGTTCAAATGGTTGTGGCCCTAATTGTAGAAACCATCCTAATTCACGGTTATTGACGGGTAACCTATTCTACGGACAGGTACTTTTTTAAAATGTCAAACCTAACTGATCACTGTACAGCCCATTAAAAAGCCAAGCCGGCCGACCATCTTTATACTGCTAGAATGTACGCCATAAGTATCCACATCACGGGCAAGGTTACTGTGTATTCCACAGAGTAATGACATTAAAAAGTTAAACTGTTCAATAAGTGCAAATATTTATATTACTTTCTCTGCTTGAGGAGTATGTGCATTTCAGGGAGGTATTGTAACAATACATTTTAGGGTTGTGTTTTGTGGTTTTCAGTTCTGTTTTGTTATAGAAATATATTCATTGGTACTGTTAAAATGGCATTAGAGCAAAGCACACCTCCCAAGTGTCCCTATTTATTTTTGGCCCAAATTCATCCGTCCTTCTTTTCTATCACCATGCCCCTCATTTCTAGGAGCTCCATGTTGTTGGTGTGTCTGAGTGCACAACACAGCTACTGCAATAATACTTGCAGTAATGTCTTTAAACTACAATGAATGTGTTTAGAAATCAGTCAGTCACCTAAAATTTCTCAGAACAGCAAATATCTTTAGTGCTAGGTAGAACTCAAGTTTTAGAACCTTTTTAGATTCTAAATGTACCTTCTGACTGCAGCACAGGTATTTAAGTTGGGGGGGGGGTTTTTTGTTTTTTTTAAATTAGTTTGAAAATCCAGATTGCAATGTGTTGCAGAGTATGACTTCTTATAATACATTTTGCTCTGTAGTTTCTAAGTGATTTCACTGTAGGGTTGATAAAATGCCTCGTGCTTTTATACTTTGTTTGCTACAGATGCTCGATGTAACTATACTTAGTAGCATTTTTCCAGCATACATACATTCTGGTAACTTTCTTAGGAAAGTATGTCTAAAGGTTGGTTTGTACCAGCTTTTCATCCTATGTTTGAAATGTATTGCTATTTAAAAATAAATAAATAAACTGAACAAAACTTTTTTGTGAAGGGATAAACTATTTGGCTACATAGAAGAACTGTTGCCGCTTTCCTTCCAATGTGGAGCGGTTACTGGGAGAGATGGCATGTTGAATCTCCAGTGTTCTGCACATTTCACTTCTTTTCATATGTGATTTCCACAAGTCAAACTCATATTTCTTTACTTCAGCTACACATAACACATTTATTGTATTGTACTCCACTGAGTATCTTCAACTTTTTTGTTCATGTTCAATTTATAATTTGTCGTTTTTTTTCCCCCCCCTCTTTGTTGCACAGATGCAAGAATGAACAATCCGTCAGAAACTAGTAAAACATCTGAAACCGGGGAAGGAAATACAGGTGAGGTGATAGCATTTGTTTTTATGTAGATTTATTATTTTACCCCAAATTTGTTCCTAGTTTCATCAGTATGACTGAGGAACTAAATAGTCACAGGCCCACCACTGACTTCATACTGCACAACTCAAACCCAAATTAATAAGAAAGTTATATAAATGAGAAGTTTGGTGGGTAATATGGAATACCAAAGTTGTTGCCAAAACACAGTTGGTGTCCACTCTGATCAGATGTGCAGTGAACCCCAAGTGACCTGATCATTGTGATTTTTTTTTTTTTTTTTTTGTAATTTTTTTTTTTTCAAGGCTCTTTAGGTTTTTTATTTTTTTTTAGGTCTACCACCTCAATTGGTATATTTTTCTCATTTAGTTGTAACGCAGTTTGAAAATTGATGATTATGGCCAGATGCTGTGAATTTAATCAGCGACAGCTCTGATAACAAGAATCATTCAATGTTTGGTTACCAGAGCCTTGATGAAGAAACTGCAGGTTGGATCTGTCACAGAAAAATTAAGGGAGTGCTGGTTAGCCATGAGATTATAAATTGGTTAAATAAGCGATTCACACAAAGTGTCTGCTTAACTTCATAGTGGCTCCATCCAACTAAGTGCCAGTCACACAAAAATGATGATGTGTGCACGTGGCATGTAGCTTGTATGTATTCTTATGTGGCCCAGCGATCAAAGTGTTGCTTTTCCATGTGTTTAGAAAAATAGAATAAACACATTATGCTAAATCGAAAAGGTAGGTACATGTTAATCTTGAGTTCTAGAGGGTTTACTTAGTATGCATGGTAAAATTGGTCTACTGTAGACCGTAGGCAGCGTGCAGTAAACAAAATTGCTAACATAACAAAAATATTAACCATATTGGATAGAGAAATGTGGAGTGAATTCATGTAGGAATTTGTTCATTTATATTTGACGATTGTCTTTCTGTCCTTGTAACCCTACCAGGACCTGGCTTAGGCAAGTCTTTATTGTGTTTTCTGAAATATCATGGATTTTGAAGGATTTAAAACATTGTTTGTATTGGGTGTGAGTGCTCTAAATAAGATGAGGTGGTTGGTAAGAACAGTTAGGCAGCAGCTTGCTCTTGCTTAGAAGTGTCTTGTGCTTGTCCAGAAGTGCTTTATCAAGAAGACTATATCAAAGCATCACATTTGGGCAGAACAGTAACTTGTCCATCCTCTGTACAGGCACGCAAACAAATGGACTGGACTTTCAGAAGCAAGTTGTACCTGTGGGAGCAGCCATCACATCTGCACAAGCACAGGCCTTCCTCGGACACCTCCACCAGGTAAGCAAAGAACTTTCACCATGTCCCTCAGCCAGGTCCTGACTACTCACCAAATTAAATTTCACTTGTGCAATAATAAATCTCAAAACTTCACTGGCTGTGTGCACACTCATATCCACTTCTGGAAAAAAAAATGAATACATTCTTAAGTTGTTTTGGCATCTGTTAACGCCAAATGTAGTGGGTGCTTTCTTACTGAAAGCCCGCCCAGCATTAATCTACAGTACATTTACCATCTGAGAACCTTGCATATATCTAATGTCTTGACAGTGCCTTTAGTTTGGTAAATAAGGAGTTATAATTCTAATACTATGGGATAGGTACCTTTCAGGCACGTGCGGTTTACCATAATGTAGTAAGATCAAGTCCTCAAATCGAACATTTAAATCTTATGACATCAACCACAAAAACACTTGTTTCATATCCTGTTAATGCTTTCAATCTATAAACTTACCGTTATAAACCCAGCATGTGGTGTCCACCCGTCTGGCAACAAGTGAACTCTCAGAAAACCTTGCACGTGCTTTTCCTTTTCTAAAATCTTGGTGGCTGAGAGATGGTCATCGGTCACAGTGCAGGGGCAAAGAATCCTCTGCTGTTTGTAAAGCTTGCGTTAATCAGATGTTTGGCTTTTAAGCTGAGTAGGTTAATTGTTCTGAGTTTGGCTGGATACTACTTTAGAATAAAAAGATGGCCTTCCACCACTTAGTTCTTAAATAAAATGCTCTCATTCTCCCTTTCAAATCAATGAGTTAAGCGCCCCTCTCCTCCTCCAATTAAGAGCTATATCTCTGGCTGTAAAATAGACATCTACACCAAAACTGTTCAAACAGCAGAAGGAGCTGCCTTACAGTTGGTAAACAAGACTATTGCCGCACAAAGGCAAATCAAGAACACATCACGTACTGTACAGTAATGATGGATGGGGTTTCTCATAGGAAGTGCCCACCATGTTTGGCAGTTGGCTTTGGCATTTGTCCTTACGAGGTTGTGTGCGCACACAAGCAGGGAAGATTGGAGACTTGTTATTGGATGAGTGGCATTTGACTTGGTTAGCAGTATTGCCATATAGTATTTAACTATTTAATAGCATTTTTCCTGGTGTTAAACGGTTCACCTTCAATGCCGCTACCGACAAACGTGTTTTATTTTATTTTTATATAATTTTCTATCTATCGCGAACGCAAATGTTGAGTATATACCCTGTACCATAATTTGCATATACGAACCTCACATATTTCTTAATCCTAATTTCTAATTCTTTAATATACAGTGCAGATTGATTGTTGTAGAAAATAGCGGCGAGATACCACTGGCATAAAACAGTAGTATGACATGGGGCCAACATTGTCAATACCACCAGATTATCAATGGCTGGCTTGTATGGTAGTGGTGCACCATGTCACCTTTACAGAAGTTGAACGTTGTGTGGGATACAATTTATTTTATAATGGACTTGTGAATCTCAAATATACTCATTGGATTTTTTGTTTCCTGAAAGCTTTAGAACTGAATACAGCACATCTAGTAGGGTGGGTTTGATATATATCGACCTATGTCACTAGTCTGTAAGACTGGACCTAAATTATGATTTTTATTTTTTTTTTAAACCTGAAGACTCATTCTTGCCAATTGTTATAATCATCTGCAACTAGATTAAGATTTCATGTTTAAAATAAAATGATTTTTCACGTAATTTTCAAAGTTATGTCAGCACTGATTTTATTATGTACCGTTAGAAACACATGCATATTGATACAATTACTGGTGAACAATCTCTGGTTTAGTAGGTTAATCCTTTTTCTGAACCTTGTCAGTTTAAAGGGACACTACAGTCACCCGAACAACTACAGCTTATTTTCTTTGTTCTGGTGAGTAGAATCATTTTCTGTAGGCTCTTTGCAGTAAACACTGTTTTTTCAGAAAAAATGCAGTGTTTACATTACAGCCTACTGGCCACTAGTCAGATGGCTACAAGAGGTGCATTCTGGGGCAGTGCTGCACAGTGTGCAGCATTGCCATTGAGTATCTCCACCCTCTGCATGCAGACACTGAACTTTCCTCATAGAGATGCATTGATTCAATTAATCTCTATGAGGAGATGCTGATTGGCTAGGGCTGTGTTTGATTTGTGCTGGCTCTGCCCCTGATCTGCCTCTTTGTCAGTCTCAGCCAATCCTATAGGAAAGCATTGTGATTGGTTCAGAGAATCATTTTTGATGATGTCCGCCAAGCAGGCAGATCAGAGGCAGCAGCTGCAGCGTTTTACTAGATTTAGGGAGGTCAGTGGGCTAGATGGTGGTTTAAACGCTATTGGGTCAGGAATACATATGTGTTTTTGACCCTATAGTGTTCCTTTAATTTATTTATTTTTGCCAAGAAAAACTGCATGTTCTGTCTACAGACACAAGGTCAATTAAAGGACCACTAAAGGCACTGAAACCATTTCAACTCAATGAAGTGGCCTGGGTGCAGTGGTCTTTGATTTCAACCATGTAATCCAAAACATAGCCATTTAGTAGATACAGCAATGTTTACATTGCAGGGTTAAATACACCTCTAATGGCTGTCTTCCTGACAGTCACTAGAGGCGCATCCTCGGAACAGAATGCATCTCGGTTCTCACAGCTAACCTCCATTTCATTGGAGTAACGCAGCACTGGCTGCGCATGCACTCTTTGACCCAAATACTCCTGTGAGGAACATTGACTTGAACAACAGACAAGTCAGTGTAACATTGTGGCAAGCAACTCAAGCCGTTGCACGGACTGGATCTCTGCATTGTGAAAAAAGGCGAGTATAACACTTTTTTTTTTTTCATGTGTTTAGATCTGGTGGAGGCCCTTAAACTACATGCAGAGGAAAACACTATAGCGTTTGGAATACAAACATGCGCTAAAGTGTGTGCCTTGGTTTAATGGAATTTAATTACCAAAAATGTAAATATTGCATGAATATACACTCATGCTAAATAAATATCCATATTTCATAGCTTTGTATCCTCTCGGGTTATGATCTACAGATGGGTAGATCACTAGATAATCCCACAAGCTGCATTTGTTTTGTTTTATGGTGCAATGACTGAAACTGTTCAGCCACGTTCCTGTGTGCACAAATCACCCTAACACGTCGGACTGAATAGTAACTGTAAAACGTTACATCCTTGTTGAGGACACAATCGATTGCAGGCAAACTCTATCAAATTTATATTTTGCTTTAAAACCGTGTAATGAAAGCTTTGTATGAATGTCCCTGACAATGTCGACTCAGACCAGGGACCAGCCTCCATCTTAGACTAGGGGCCATCTGCTGTGAGCTGGAACCAGCCTCTGCGTTCCTTACCATAGACACTGTGGCTAACCATAGTTAGAGGTTTAAAATGGGTAGGAAATGTAACCCTGTGTGGCTAGACTTTAGTTGGTATGTGTTCAATGTGTGTATGTACATTTCACCTCTTCCATTGTGCCTCAATGCTTTTACCCTCCTCCAAGGCATTACCTTATTGTTCTAGTAGGAGTCTTTCAAAGCAGTCCAAACCAGCTACCCTGCCACTCCCTTAAAGGTTTACCCCAAATCCCATCATCGTTTTGGAGCTCTAAAGAGATCATGGTTGCATGTTCAGGTTTTCAGTAAGAGACGCTTAATGAACCATGCTAACGGAAGTGTAAGTTCACCTCCGGCAGCATGCGGGCAATGGAAGACCAACTGCAACTCTCCTTCCTTAAATCTCTACCAATGGAGAGAGAACTCTGCCTTGGCTCCAAGGTAAGTATTATGTTGGGTGGTAACTCTGCAACTAAAGGTTACTCTATCCAAAAACAATGTTTTATTAACCTATGGAGTCTCCACAAGTCTTTGTCAATGTCTGCCTACCTGTTATGTAAAGATTGTTTCTTTAATAAAATCAGTAGTTGTGTTCTGCATTCTCTGAGAAGCCCTTCCAGTTAGGTGTTGGAAGGATTAGCTCAATCCTAGACTTTCCCCATTTGGAACAAATATAACAGTGTGAGCGCTCCTATTAATCAATTGGAGAAAAGACCAATTCTGCCACAAGACAAGTCTCTATCCCAAGCCATTGACCAGATTTCCTGTGTGTACCACGATCAGCCTATGTATAAGGGATAGTAGTAATATGTACATGCGCACACCCAACCCTGCCTGCCTTTCAAACCCACAATCCTCCATGGGAAGCTGCATGCGCAATGTATCTGAGGCCGTTAATGAAGATATGACATAACGAAGTGTGTTTGCCTGCCACTTTTACTGGTTTCCATGGGAATTGAAGCATTTACAAGTCAACACATCCATAAATATTTATTTTTGTTTTAGAAGCAAATGTAATTTACATTTCTGGATCACTTTTTTTTTTATTATAGAGGAGGGGATAAAACCATTAAATCCATGCTGTCTGTGCCAAACTATAGTAAAAGGGGTCTTTATTATTTAAAGGGACATTTGTTTTATTTTTTTTATTTTTTTTTCTCCTCCCAGTAAAAGGTAGAGATTTAAGAGGGATATAGGAGTAAATGAAACTTGATTTAAAATCCTCCAATCTATAATTTCCTTGAGAGTATTCACACATCTTACACTTTGCTATGGGTCTGATGTTTCTTTTTCCATAGCATGATAGTGACGACATATTCTGTTGCGCTGTACAATAGGTAAACAAGAAGGCGTTAAACACTCACATTTCTCCAGCGCCGGGCTCGCTCGGCGCTGGGGAACTTTCATCCCTCTTCGGACATCAGCTCGGAATGCGCACGCATAGGAAAGCATTTCTCAATGCTTTCCTATGGACGTCCAGCGTCTTCTCACTGTGACTTTCACAGTGAGAAGCGCTTCTAGCGGCTGTCAGTGAGACCGCCACTGGTAGCTGGATTAACCCTAGTGTAAACATATCCGATTCTCTGAAACTGCTATGTTTTCAGCTGCAGGGTTAAAACTAGATAGACCTGACACCCAGACCACTTCATTGAGCTGAAGTGGTTTGGGTGCCTATAGTGACCCTTAGCATATTTATAAATGATCTTGAAATAGGCATTGAAAGTCATGTTTCAGTATTTGCAGATGCCACAACTTGTAAAATAATAAAATGTGAGCAGAATATTGCTTTGCTGCAGAGGGATTTGGATAGATTGGGGGACTGGGCGCTAAAATGGCAGATGGAATTTAATGTAGAGAAATGCAAAGTTATGCACTTCGGGGTCAAGAATGCACAAGCAACTTACACCCTAAATGGTAGTGATTTAGGGATAACCACACACGAGAAGGATTTGGGAATTGTTGTAGACAACAAATTAGGCCAGTAAGGTTGTCAACTATAAATAGGGGCATAAATTCTCGGGATGAAAATATAATTTTGCTTCTCTATAAATCGCTGGTAAGACCACACCTTGAATATGCTGTGCAATTTTGGGCACGTGTTCTAAAGAAGGATATCATGGCACTAGAAAAAGTGCGGAGACGAGCTACAAAATTGATAAAAGGAATGTAGCATTTTAGTTATGAAGAAAGGTTAAAAAATTAAAATCTCTTTAGTTTGGAAAAACGGCGCCTCAGAGGGGATATAGCATTTTCAAATATATTTAGGGTCAGTACAAACCATTATCTGGAAATCTATTCATAAACAAGGCTATACATAGGACACAAGGTCACGCATTTAGGCTAGAAAAAAGGAGATTTCATCTAAGGCAAAAGTTGTTTTAATTTTATTTTTTTTACTGTAAGAGCAAGAAGGATATGGAATTCTCTGCCTGAAGAGGTGGTTTTATCAGTCCATACAGATGTTTTAAACAGCAATTGGATAAATAATTGCAAAAACATAACATACAGGGATATGATTTCTAATTAGTGGGGTAATAGCTGCTTGGTCCAAGGAGATATCTGACTGCTATTTTGGGGTCAAGAAGGAATATTTCCCTAGTTTGTTGCAAAATTGGAAGCGCTTCAGATTGGATTAACAGCAAAAACATATGTGAGGAAGGCTGAACTTGATGGACGCAAGTCTCTTTTCAGCTATGGAACTATGTAGACACTTAGACTGCTTCATTGCATTGAAGTGGTCTTTGTGCAGTGTCCGTGCCACACTTGGTGCTGCGATGTAAAACATTTTGAAAAAATACAATGTTTACATTGCAGGACTGTCTGCCCACAGTGGTGGTCTACCAGACATGTCTGGATTTGACCAGACTTTAGGTCGCCTGACCCTGGACATCCTCACACTCTACACGAGGACATCCAGCACCAACGGAAACCCAATAGAAAAGCATTGATTCCTATGGGTAGGGTGCAATGGTTTCCTACGGGTAGGATGTAATGCGATTGCAGTGCATGCGCATTAGTCCCATCCCCCCTGTCAGATGACATTAAGTTAAAGGGTTTTAATCCTTTATGGGCTGTGGGCGGTGTGAAGGAGGGGAGGACCAGAGGGCACTATAGTGTTAGGAATACAACTTTGTTTTCCTTATACTATAAAATCCCTTTAAGGGAAGGGGGCGGGGGGACTGCTGTTTTCATGTAATCTAACGTTATGGTCAGACCTCCTAATGTCATTGGCCTACATTGTTTAGAGGATCCTCTTTCGGACCCATGTGAGCCAGTATAGGCGGCATTATTTGAGGAGTAGAGTAGAGAAAGTTACCTAAATAGCATCAATGCTGAAAAGTGTTTGATAATGAAGCTAGCGGTAGATATTGCCAGCATTAGTTAAATAGAAATGTTTCCAGTTACTGTGTTAACATGTAGTCTCGGTGCAGTGGCTGACCAAGTCTGCACTCTATCTGCCAATCTTTCCCCTCTTATACCCAGCCCGTTTTCTCAACTCCTACTTTCTCTATTCTCCTTGTTTTCACCCTTTTACCAGGTGCTCTCTCACTTACCTATATATTCCACAGGTTCTACTTGTTTTGTCTTCCATTTTCCTAGAGGGATCACTAATCCTTTGCTGTCGGCTATCCCAGTGGCAGTGTTGCTTTCTTCACATGACATTATTTTCACGTATTGCCTACTATTCCAGATGTACAGGGACACATTATTTATTACTCCTGCTGCAGATGGAATGACTAATAATGTGACCATGTATGGGATCCCTCTAGTCGCTCTACCTGGGTATAAACCAGAAAGCTCCTCTCTTCACCTAGAATGGCAAGAAGGGGTTTACTGGGCAAAATTTGGACAGGGCTGTCTGAAAGGCACCAGGCTGTCTGCTAAAAGCATGCACATCGTCATCTCAGCTGCTTTTTGCGTTAAGTACTTTAGTGAATAAAAATTTTAAATGTTTTTTAAAAGTACAAATTGTTGGGAATTCCAAGTGAATTTCAAATTTAAGGCCAAAGTAGCTTAATCCATGGACAGTATTTTTTTGTTTTGTTTTTTTTTCCCCCTCTCACTTAACGAGGTTGTTTATTTACCGTTCTGAAGACTGTTTACTTGCAGTGCCAAAGCCCCTGCTTCGTACAAAACTGTGTGTGTCGCTAAAAGTCAACACCATTCTATTCTCAGACTAAATGTACTCATTCATTTTGTTTGTATTAAAGAAACCTGTAAAAAATGTTGACAGCCTAATTTCCACTAAATCTGATCTATTTTTAGAGCTGCTATAGTTTGAGACTGCAGTGTCAATCATAAAAGAAAACCATGAGAATTTCAGAAAAGAGACATAGGAAAAAATACTGTAGTGTATGTCCATGTCCCAGAATTGATCTTCCTGTCATCGCATGCGGGAATGTGCGGAGGCAGCTTAGTCTGTAAGAACATGGTGTGAGCTGATTTGAAATTGTCCTTTGCCCTGTATTTTAGGCTCAGCTCGCTGGGACAAGTTTACAGGCCGCTGTACAGGTAAGGACTGTTACACTGCCCCAATCTTGCATGACTGCCATTTGCCTCACAAGCCACAGAAATGAATACCATGGAATGTTTACACTTGGACATTGTAACGTTACCACGTTTAGGAGTATATACAAATCTCTCTGCTGACATGTTTAACAGGACTGGATAAAAGAAAAATGGGCTTTGATATTTTAAAAAAATTACATTTAAAAAAAGTCACCTTCAGCAGCAGGGAGCGTTCAGATAATATTGAGATTATAAGGTTTTTAGATCAACAAGGCAATTGTGAAAGGTTCAAAACAATGAACCTAAATGACTGTTTTTTTGGGGTGTGTTTTTTTATATAGCGTTAAAAGTATATTGTTGCTTTGATCAGGTTTAAACAGTGGCTGATTTAAAGATTGTGTGGCGTCAGACTATACCCTCAGAATCTGATTCTGCCTAATGATGCATCATGCCCTATTCAACACCATAATCTGTAGTGTAGTATTATTAAAACAACCACTTTAACAGCAACAGTTGGAGTTGGGCATCTTTAAAGGAGCATTAGGAACACAAACTTGTGTTTCTAACATTGGTGTGTCAGCCCCATCCCCTCCCTGTTTATACTAAGTAAAGGCTTGGATCGTCACAAATGATGATCTCTGCCAATCCAATGCTTTACCATAGAAAAGCATTGAAAGGCTAGTGTGCATGCGTAGCAAAATGCTGAGCTAAGCCACTCAGATGGTGTCTTTAAGACCAGCTGATTAAACTAGCCGAGTTTCACTCTGTCCCTGCAGTGGCTACCAGAGTGACATTCACTAGATGCATTTAAACCCTGCAATGCAAACACTGCCATGTCAAAATGACAGGGACGTGGCACCCAAACCACTGCATTTAATTCCATCAAACCAAGAGTTTGGTGTATAAAGTTTTGCATAGAAGGTTTGTACACGTTACAGATTTATGTATAACTTTTAATTCCAGTTCTTTCAATAATTTAAAGTGGCATTTCGTAAACAAAATGTTTTGAGGTAATCTCCATGCTACGTACTTGCTGATAACTCTGAATTAGCTAGCACAGTTCTGATTTTGAACCCCTTGTCACTCCTTCCTAGGTACTCCAAAAATTACTAGGGTATTTCATGGCGTTCCATCCTGACAGGACGCCTGTTAATGTTGGCACAATCCTGGACATAACTGGACCTCAAAACTCTGAGCTCTGTGAGAATAAGGGGGCAATATTTATTATTTCCATATGTGTATTAGATCTGTTTTGGTTTTTTGTTTGCTTGCATCCAGATCCTGTGTAGCATTGTATAGTTGGTACATTTAGTAGCAGAGTATACCAAAAATCTCCAGAACACATGCTGCCAGAGCACCCAATTAGTGCTCTAGGAGATCTCTCCAAAAGATGTATATCTGTGCAGCCATGAGGCAGACAGCCTCACCTTCATGCAAACCTTTCAGCGCATACAATAGATTTGGAGCCTGAGAAGGAGTCAGAGGATAGGAGGGGTCAGCGCAGCTTTTGTGAGACTACACTGACCTTCCATTCGGAACGAGAGAAGCCAGAAAATTGTCTTCTGTTGCCATGGCGAAACTTCTCTCTCCCTGGGAGGATGTTGGCAAACAGGCAGTATCTCTGGAGCAGAATGTTTACAGTCCTGCACTGTAATTATCTCCAAATGACTGGCAGAATTAATCAGAGTTTTATGTTAATTAGCCCGCTCTGCAGTCCCTGAAACAGGTGGTGGAAAATATGCAAATTAATGCAGAATTCAAATGCTCTCCCGAACCAGTTTTAATTAACATAAAATGCACACTTTCTCCAGTCTCCCTGTCTGCAGTTTCTAATTTCATTTTTTTTAATACATTAATTTCTAAACCACTCCACCCCCAATTTTTTATTTTTCATTTAGCATTATCGGGTGTTATTCTCATTGCTTTTTATGGGGCTTTAAGTCCCAAAATACTGGGGCAGACTTTTTTTTTTTACAACCGGCAATTTACAGGTTGCCTGCCCTTAACTGTAATTATTGATGTGGACTCTTTAATCAAGAGTATGAGAACTACAACTCTCAGGATGCTGGGCCAGCCTTCTAGATAAGCAGCGCAATAAATCCCCCAAAGACTTACGGTCCCTTTTAAGCCTCATGGTTAATAAGCTCATTATAGGGTGAATCTGGATCACAGTTTTGCAGACAACCTGATAAAAAATGTAAAAAAAAAAGGCGAGTTATGTGTTGGGCTGGCAAACCTTGTTTCTCAGGTTTATTATTTTCATCTTGTTAAAATGTTGTGTAATCTACTGTCCTATGTTGCATGTTGAGAACCGTAGTAAATCCATACCTAGCAGGCAACGTTTGGATTCTTTATGTCCGCATTACAGTGGCCAGATGTCCAGTATAGTCCTGTTACGTTATTGTGCCACATGTTTCAATTGAATAAAAAAAAATATATTTTTATACCAGCGTCATGTAACCCATAGTGAGGTGATTTGCAGACAGGAGGGAACCTAAAAGCAATGAATCTTCAGTATCCTACAGGTTTAGTTGTTTTTGTTTTTTAGGAATATTAACCCTGCTCTTGTAATTTGCTTCAATGGATATATTTTGGATTAAATCCCCTTGTTCAGTTTAAAAAAAAAAAAAAAAAAAATGAAAATACAATTTCTCCCCTTTCTTCTAGCGGTGTTTTATTCAAACAGATCTTTTTGACAACTCTTCATTTCCCATAAACCCACGCACAGCTCAATTTTATGGTGAACTAGCCGTAAACTTTTTGTATTTTATGCGAATTGAATGCATGTATTATATGAAAAATGTATTGACAGTGTCTGTGTTTCCGGGTTTTACCATTTTACGTCCAGGATGTTATATTCACTTTACCATGTGGCCCCCATCTTGGGACCCTCACAACATAAAACACTACATTAGATTTTTGCACATTTCTAATCTAGCATCCATTTCCATCACTCCCAAAAAGAAACAATTTTACATTAATAAAGAGAACATAAAAATTTAGTATTTTTACTTCATTTCAACTTGTCTGTACGTTAAGGAAATGGATGAAACTGTCTTAAGTCACTGACTGTAAACGGGCAAATAAATTCTATCTTTAAAATGTTTCACTGTAAAATATACATTCATGGGTCCCACAAATCCATTTTACAGGGTGTCCTGTTGTATATTTTGCGGTTTTGTAAATGAGACATAAGGTGCCGACTTAAACAACATAGGAACTGACTTCAAAGCATTTGCACTTTTTTTTTTTTTTTTTTTTTTCAGACTTGTATATTTTTATTCTTAAACTGTTCAGGTACATGGTATGCAATTGACAGTAGATCACAGGGTATACAGCTTAGAGAATACATTATAAACTGGTGGCATTTTCTAATTTCTTCAGGTGTGTTAGTGGGAAAATGTCTACTTTGCACAACACGCACACTTTAATAACCAGAATTTCCAAAACCGGTGCGCGGGAGATAAGGCCAAAGTCCTGGAAAGACAAAGCAGTTTGTAAAAACTTAACGTTGAGAATTGTAGGTGGCTCTTCTGAGTGGAAAAGTTATAACAGTTCAATGTTGGCCTTTGTATTTGTTAATAGTTTAACTGACACGCCATGCCACACTTATTTATTGTATTTCATGTATTACATGGGTGAAAAGTTGACATATCAAAAAATAGCCCCCTTTTGTTTCAAACTGCCTCATTCAATTGACTTGTATGATGATGGTGATAAGTATGTGTTATTTAATGCTAGATTATCATATGGCACACCACATTATGCATCATATATTCCCCACAAGATTGGTAAAGTTTTTGTGTTTTTTTTTTTATGCAGTTTTTCTGGATATTTCTATTTTACAGATACAGACCCAAAAATGTGTCTCTATTTGCAAATCTCTGGATTTTAGCTAAATAGTTACAGGGCAGATGAGTTACCCTCAGATTGTGTATTGCAAATTAACTGTTCTGCAAGACTGCATTAAACACCAAAGAATAGAACCATGAATCGCATTACCTCTCTGGCTCCAGCATCAGGTGCCCTTGTTTTCACTATTCTGTCGTTTCCAGCATTCGTCTCCCGCCATCAAACAAAGAGGCAAATCTGAACGTTTTATTTTTTTATTTTATTTTTTTTATTTATTTATTTATTTATTTTTTGTTAGTGCAACTTTTTATTTTTACATTGCAAGGTTTTGCTTTGTTTCAGTAATGCTAAAATACATAATGTAAAAGAAGCTGAACCTCCAAGAAAAAAACCTTTAAAGACTTTTGATGTATTATTAACCCGTTGGGTACACTTCCCATCATATTATTTATATAACGCCAGCAAATTCCATAGCACTGTACAATGGGTGGACTAACAGACACGTAATTATAACCAGACAAATGGACGCTCAGGAACAGAGGGGTTGAGGGCCCAGCTCTCAATGAGCTTAATAAACAGAATATGCTCTTCTACAATTGTAGTGGGTATAGTGGTAGGAGTACATATGAGCAGTTTTTCAGCTTAAAACACTACACATACAGAGTTATTTACACTTCTGTGCTGGGTGTTAGTTGCTGCCCCGTGTCAATTCTCTGCATATTTAACGTATGTCTGCTGCACGCTTGCCCCTCCCACGCTCCCTCCCATCTCGCTCTGTCCCTTATATAGGTTTCAGTTAAAAGAATCCTTCCTGCTCCCTTCCTAAATCTGCCCAGAGTGCGCAAAACTGGCCAATCACAGGGTTCTCTGAGAAGCCTGAAATTGGACCAGTGCCAGATGATGTCAGAAGGGGGCATGGATTCAGGTAAGCCAGAAACCTTTTTTGATTTTGGGCGGGGGCACAGAACAGTAATGCCCTATAGGGCATTTTCAGTTTAAAAAAATTATCCCATTAAAAATAAATAAGACTTTATTAGAAAACCAGCCTTGTTAATACATGCATTTTATTGCTGATGAAAACATGCCATTGAGGAGCTTAGAACAGGCTTTACTTTATTTTATTCTTTGAAGTTTTGTGACAATTCTTACCCGTTGGTTTTTAGACAAAATTTAAAGAAGAACCTGGGGAGCCTCCGCAGCCCGTCCAGCCATCCCAAGCGCCCCCACTCCAGGCAGCCTTACCCCAGACCCAGCTCATGGTGGCCGGAGGACAGATCACTGGGGTAAGAAATTACTCTTTAGACCAGTCCAAGCCAATATACAGGCAGTTGTGATGGGAACATATGAGGCCTTATGTTTTTGACAATCTTCCTAGAATCATTTCATGCTATTATTTTGCAATACACTTTCTGCTGTAATTTTAAGATTATTCCAAAATGCACAGAATGTTTGTAGAGTGAGGATTGTGCCAACTGTTGAATTGTTGGATTCCAATCTGCTCTGGTGGAATATTACTGTAATTTATTTAGCTGCTAAATTTAACTGTTTTGTACATTTTGTATGTCAAATTTAGAAGTCATGCTGAATTTTGTAGATCTAAATCCCTGTGTGTTAAAGGAACGCTATAGTGTCATGAAAACATATTGCTTTCCTGGCACTGCAGGACCCTGCAGTGCCCCTCTCCCTCCCACCCCATCACATGTTGCTGAATGGGGTTAAATACCCTTCAGTGACTTACCAGACTCCAGCACCGATGTCCCTTGGTGCTGAGTCAGGCTCTGCCTACTCTCCTTCCCCTCCGACAGCCGGCGGGGGAGACCTAATGCACATGTATGGCAATGGCTGCACACGCGCATTAGACCTCCCCATAGGAAAGCATTATTCAATGCTTTCCTATGGGGATTTCGGCAACGCTGGAGGTCTTCACATAGCATGAGTACGTCCAGCGTCGTTTAAAACACTTTTCATGTTTTAAGAAGCCAGAAGCACTTAACCCTATAAAAACTACAATAATTACACTTGCAAGGTTAAGAAGGTGGGAGTTGGCACCCAGACCACTCCATTGGGCAGAAGTGGTCTGAGTGCCTGGAGTGTCCCTTTACTGAAGCAGTCTTAGTGTATAGATTGTGTCTCTGAAGTCTCACAGCTCAATTCTCTGCCATTTAGTAGTTAAATCACTTGTTTCTGTCCATGCAGCCCCAGACACAGCCTGCATTAAAAAAAAAAAGTTTCACTTTTAATCACAGTAACTTTGAATAGTTTTTTTTTTCTCCTGCTCTGTAACTTGAACTTTAATCACAGACTTCTGCTGGGTCTAGCAAGCTATTAACAGAACAGGAGATAAGAAATACTAAACTAAACAGAATTTGCAATAAAGTTTAAATAGAGCTCACTTTACAGGAAGTGTTAGGAAAGGCTGTGTAAGTCACATGCGAGGAGGTGTGATTAGGGCTGTATAAAAAGTGATTTCATTCCTAAGTGGCAGAGAATTGAGCGGTGAGACTGCAGGGACGTGATCTCTATACAGCAACACTGCTTCATTAAGCGAACATTGTTTTGGTGACCAAGTATCCTTTAAGGCAATTACTGTAGGGTGACTTTTTTTTCTATTGGTAAAAACATTAAAGGAGCACTATAGGGTCAGGAACACAAACATGTATTCCTGATCCTATTGTGTTAAAACCACTATCGAGCCCCTTTGCCTCCCTAAAGATAGTAAAATCTTACTTGTATCAAAGTCTGAAGCTGCTGCCTCTGCATGTGAACTTCCTCTGACCTCATCAGAAGTGGTGGCCTGATCCAATCACAGTGCTTCTCCATAGGATTGGCTGAGACTGACAAGGAGGTAGAGTCAGCAAAATTCAAACACAGCCCTGGCCGATCAGCATCTCCTCATAGAGATGAATTGAATCAATGAATCTCTGAGGAAAGTTCAGTGTCTGCATGCAGAGGGAGGAGATACTGAATGTTTGGATGCATTTTAGGCAGCCGTGACCCAGGAAGGATCTCTAACAGCCATCTGAGGAGTGGCCAGTGAAGTTATCACTGGGCTGTAATGTAAACACTGCATTTTCTCTGAAAAGACAGTGTTTACAGCAAAAAGCCTGAAGGTAATGATTCTAGTCACCAGAACAAATTCAACAAGCTGTAGTTGTTCTGGTGACTATAGTGTCCCTTTAAGCTTTGAGAAATTTTAATGTCAAAGGGGTCCGTTTCAAGCCAAGTCCTACCAGATTACTATAGTTCAGCTTCGTTCGGAACAAGGACTTTAACAGTTACTAGGAACAAAATACTTAATTGAATTCAGGCATATTTTGATGAGGGAAGATTAAAAGCAGCAGTTTAGCAACACTAAACCTTCTATTACATCTAGTGCTTTATTTCCTTAACGTGTCACTCTTCTTTAAACTGAAATAAATCCCTACATTTACTCCCATATTTCTCAGAATACGTTGTATATTTATTATTTTTCACACAAATTACATAGTTACACAAACTGGAAACTTTTAATAAGAAATGTTATTATACTTTGTTGCATCTTTTAGAACTCTGGAACTCCTTTCCCACCAGCAGTGTGTGAATGCTGCATACTCTGCACAAAACCTGTTCATAGGCAATTTTATCAATCCACTTATAAAATGGTTACCTTTAAAGCTGCTGTTCTTGTCTAGATATATTGTGACATATAGCTAGTAGTCCTTTTTGGTGTTTTGTTTATATAATTTTTTTCAAAGTTAGAAGGAAAAAAAAAACTTTTATAAAATGAATGTCTCAATTATATATATAATTTTTGTATTGTAGAAGGTTTTGTAAACAAAATCTAAAAGGCATTAATTTGACGTGCTTAAAGGGTCGTTCCACACTCCTAAACTATAGCTTTTTTCATATTGCAAAAAGTGCAGATTTCAATAGAAATTTACACTTTTCTATGTTAACCTGGTACATCACCTTGACTTTCAAAGCAGATGTGTAATGTTACTTCCTGGTTTCATTGGCTCAATGCAGCTGACCTCAAGAGGCAGCAATTACCAAGAGCACCGGACTTACAAAGACTTCTCATTGAGCTGCATTGGGAAGTCACAAAACGTCTGGGTGGGTTTAGAAGGGGAGGCCTTGCAAAGGCAGCAGACGAGATATTATTTTCCTATAGTTTTTGCTTAAAGGAGCAGACGTAATATAATGAGTGACTTAGAGTGCTGATTGTGGGGGTTGAGGATTTAAATGAGTTGTTTGAATCCTCAACCCCCAACATTTCTACTGGTCTATTAAGTAAGAACAGTGTATGTGTGCATGTGATGGCCCGTATTATATTTTATCCTCCTCTAATACTGAGCATCGTAGTGTGAGGATGTATCCCAGCATCCAATCGCTTGACTGTGCCTTCTTAAAATTGGCACCGGGGTATGCTTTTCCAGTCTTTCCACTTTAAATAAACATATGCACCAAACGCGTAATACTGGGGACTAATGATTGAGAGCCTTAAGGCTTTGTAAAATGTTATATAGCTTTTTATTCTGTAATTGCACTTCTATAGAACGCAGTGTATTCTGTTTTATAAAATCCCAGTCCACAGCACTGCGGGAAGAGGAAGGTACCAATCTTAGCACTTGAGATTGCCATTTTCTTCACTCTGGCGTTTACCGTGTGCGTTAACTAAAATTATACTTATTTTTAGTGCACTTCATTTCTGTTCTTGCTGATCTGTGCCGTATGGAGTGAGAGTTTGTATGATGATGCAAATCAGTCATTCAACATAGTGGTTTTCCTATAATAAATAATCACTAAAGGGAGTGTAATATTTAATCCTTGTTCTAATCTTCTGTCTCTACCCACACACATTCAAACCCCTGAGCAGCAGCAGTCCATTTGGAATCTTTAGTTAATTTTTAGGGTTTGTGTGGTGTTCTGCGACTTTATTTTATTTAGAAATGCCACATATGCAATAAAATATGTAAACGAAAGACCTGTAACATTATATCAGAAATCCTATAAGAAATATCCTCGAATAGGATAGAAAATAGATCATTCGTAAAACAAACCACACTGTGTAAATGAATACTTAGAAAGGCATTAGTCACCCTAAATAACACAGCTTGGCTTCACTTATTGCTATTACATCTGGAAGGTGGGATAAAGAATAATAAGAAAATGGAAATGGACAAGTCACTTTATTTCTGTGCAATTCATGTATTTGGGTTCCTGCCAGTTGTATTTCAGAGATCCCCAAAAATAAAGCAAGCACTCATTGAGCTGACAGTCAATTTGTCCATATTATATTGTGTGGCCAGAGACCACATACTTATGGCATGCCTTGACAAGCTTCTGGTTCTTGGGTCCAAACAAGCTCGAAAATGTAAGAGCTAGGTTTTAAATGCCACATGGAACATCCGTTTTTCAGTCAACACCCATTTCTTACATTTGGGTAAAATGTTTACTGCCTGAAAAAATACTAGCATGATCCATATGCCAAAACATAGTTATCTAATATATTAAAGGATCACTATAGGGTCAAGAACACAAACCTGTATTCCTGACCCTATAGTGTTAAAACCACCATCTAGCTCCCCCTGGGCCTCTCCTGCCTCCATAAATATAGTAAAAATCTTACTGTATTCAAGCTTGAAGCTGTAAATCTGCATGCTGTTAGACTCATAAAAAACAGCAGTCTGCTGACATGTGGTAGCCTGATCCAATCACAGTGCTTCCCCATAGGATTGGCTGAGACTGACAAAGAGGCAGATCAGGGGCAGAGCCAGCATGATTTAAACACAGCCCTGGCCAATCAGCATCTCCTCATAGAGAGGAATTGAATCAATGAATCTCTATGAGGAAAGTTCAGTGTCTGCATGCAGAGGGAGGAGATACTGAATCACAGGATGCTGTGCACAGTGCTGCCCTGTGCTCTGCTGACAGCAGATCTGAGTGGGTGGAGGCATATTATGCCTCCATCAACTCCGAAGTCTCTCTGGTTCACTCTGAGTGACTGCAACTGGAGGTGTTCCTAGCTTTCAATGTAAACACTGTATTTTCTCAGAAAATAGTGTTTACATGAGAGAGGCTGCAGGGAGCTAGTTCTCACCTGAACAACCTCATTAAGCTGAAGTTGTTCAGGTGACTAGTGTCCCTTTAAGATTTGTATTTTGCTGATGAATAAAACCGTAGCAGGCATTGTTTAATTAGACTTTACAGGGGCACAAACTTGACGCGGCAAATCGTATTTAGCACTATTAGAAATTGTATGTTTGCCTCAGAGAAGGCAGCGCTAACTGTAAGCGGAGGACGTAAGTACCTGCAGTGGTTGGTGGAGTGTTTGCCAATTTGAAAAGAAGTCGGGGGAGGAGGAAACATGATGTTAAATGCCTTGTGTTTTACAGCTAAAGACCAGGTATTATTACCACCATAAATCACAAAGGAGTGCTAGCCAAGCTTCTTGTCCATCTTTGCTTGAGCACAACGCTTTTTTTTTTTTAGGATTGTCATGGGGATCCTTCAAACATCCACCTGAAACATAAGATGTGTTTGCTGCAGCCTTTAGCAGAGCAGCACTCTTTAATAGACATGAGGCTCCATTACATAGAAACTTGACAGTCTGCAAGCCAACTGTCCAATGTTTTGGCCTGGAGCCTTGCTTAATGCTTTTGTGTGTAGATTATGTGCTATATAATGTAAAGTAAACGGCATGTTATCCTGCAGTAAAGGTGGGTTAGTACTGCACGTGTTGTTTCTCTTGATAAGAGATTTACTAGTGGTTTTTGTTTTTTGTTTTTTTTCTCATATTATTCTCTTCCATGAAAGGGTGACCATAGGTATATTTTATACCTTGTGTGGCAAATGGTGGATGTTCCTACATTGAGGGGATTGGCAGGATTAACAATCGTTGATCAATAACCTGTTTCGTTGTTTTGCAGCTAACACTAACGCCAGCTCAGCAGCAGATGTTAATTCAGCAGGCGCAGGCACAGTTACTGGCAGCCGCAGTGCAGCACTCTGCCAGCCAGCAACACAGCGCCGCTGGTGCCACCATCTCCGCCTCTGCTGCAACTCCCATGACACAGATCCCTCTTTCTCAGCCAATACAGATTGCACAGGTAAGCACAGGCCAAATGCTACTCCCACTGTTCAGCTAAAGTGTCTGATGACATTAGCTTTTTATATTGAGGTTTTTTGGGATTTTTTTATCCCTTCTAATTCAGGATTTGTTTTTTTCCCCCCCTCTAATTTAGGATTTACAGCAATTGCAGCAGCTTCAACAGCAAAATCTCAACCTACAGCAATTTGTGTTGGTACATCCGACCACCAACCTGCCGCCAGCGCAGTTCATCATCTCACAGACGCCCCAGGGGCAACAAGGTAACACCGCTTTGTGCTGGACTTGATAAATTGCTAAAGTATTAAAGGTTTTATTTATCGTGCAAATAAGTAGCATTTGCCCCTTATATTATGAGATGGAGATGGTGTGGATTGGGGCATGTGAGGGCTGTTTGTTGCAAAATGGCCATATAGGTACTGTATACCTTTATACATATATCATGAAAACACGGAGGGAAGATAAAATGATTTATGAAAAGTTCAATCTATGAAAATATATTCAAAAACATTTGTGTGATACAATGGGAGTGGAAACAAATCCATTCAGTCCCCTCTACTTCCTCTAAACCTACAGCATGGTACGCCGATGTACAATTCGCATACTTTTCAGAATTGCTAAAGTTCTTTGGATCCGCTTCACAGGGACACTACACAATATAAGTGATTGACTATAATTCTAATCACACATTGACTTGCATAGTGCCACACACCAGGTACTGTGCTAATTGCTATGGGAGACCGCAAACGCAGCCCACAGTACCCAGCAAAAAGCAAAGCCCACCTAAATCCGCATCAGACAATGAATTTTTTTTTCCTTGTGGTTTTTCCTTTCTAATTTTGTTATAGATGTGCACATGTTAAGTCTTTCTTTCTACTTTCCTTCCAAATCTGTATTTCAAAAAAAAAAAAGTGTGAAGAGTTGACCTAAATCCAAATATTATCTGAGTAATTTTTATTTATTTTGTATTGCTCCCTGTTTTGCAGGCCTTCTGCAGGCGCAGAGTCTCTTAACACAACTACCTCAGCAAAGCCAAGCCAACCTCCTGCAGTCTCAGCCAAGCATCACTCTCACCTCACAGGTCAGCAGCCAGTTCCCTTCCATCCTACCCTTTGGGAATAATCCTGTGCTTTGAAGAAATTGCATTCCTAACGGATGTCCTATTGTTATGGACGACAGAGTCCTGGCATGCTGAATACCACTCATTAATAATCATTTAGCTGGTCAGGCGAAAACGCTTTGCGTAGCACAGTGCACGTGTCTGCTTTGTGAAAGGCATAGTGTTCCCCCAAACTTTGTGGGTTCTGTGTAGAAATAATGGTATTTACCACAGTGTGGTCATTTTAAGGTTTATAGAATGACTTTTACCTGGGATTTCGTAGGTAATGGGTGACTGGTCTCTTTAGATGATTAAAGTTTACTTTTCATTTATGGCGCTTTTCTCAGAACTGACCATGGTGGCAAACATTTTACAATTACTTCGTATTGTTAGGTTAAACATTTGCTGTGTAACACAGGCAGCATATTGTAAATAGGGATTAACATAGTATCTGTTCTGCTAGCTATTAGAACCGATATTTGCATATTTCTGAGAATTGGTACTTTCCACATCTGGAAACCGCAACTGTCACCCCTCCCTGCGGGTCCCTGCATGCCGAACCTTTGTAATCCAAGCATGTACAGGCTGCCTGGGAGTGCTAGGTGACTGTGACTGCTGCCGGCATGTTTATTTAATGGCAGATTTGTGTATCAATTGTGTTGATTTTAAAAATCTTTAAATGTACAGAATATCAACACCAATTTTTGGCAATCGGCCCAAAAGGAGACCAATAACCTGTATTGCATCAGCTGCGGAAAAATATCAGTCGATTTCTAATTGTAATAGTTGCATTTTTCCTAATTGGGTATGTGTGTTCTGTGCAGTTATACCCGCTGCATTCTAGTTACAGGAACATGTAGACATCTACTACTATGGGAAGATGCTGCAATGTTTCTCTTCCAAAACTGCTACTCCCGTAATGAACAACCAAGCTTTGCTTTTTCTGCTGAATTTCCTTCCATGTGTTAATTTGCTTTGAGTAGAAATTCACTGATTAGTGCTCTGAGGGCCGTAGTTACTATTCTCCATTAACAGACAAAGGCTTTGATTTAATTCCGTTGGATAAGCTTTTCAATTGACCAAATGAATGTGTCATTTTGGATAAACTTTTGAAATATTTTTCAAATCATTAAATCATTTTAAAAATGTATCCAAAACACTGAAAGCATTTATAAGGGTTATACAGAAATATAACAAAGTTATAATTTATCAAGCAATTGAATCCTTTATGGATGTGACTCTTCTGTATACCACAATTGATTGTGCCGATTGTTTAATCGATAAATTGGGATGATTGATCGGCACCATGCATTTATTTCTTGTTTCTGTGTCTTTCAGCCAGCAACCCCTACCCGCACAATAACTGCAACCCCCATACAGCAACTTCCACAGAGCCAGTCAACACCAAAGCGAATCGACACTCCGAGTCTGGAGGAGCCCAGTGACCTGGAGGAGCTTGAGCAGTTTGCGAAAACATTTAAACAAAGACGCATTAAACTTGGATTCACTCAGGTAAGTGTAGGCAGACGTGTGCCGAGAGAACTTTCCCCATCCCGGCAGGGTTTCCATTTAACTGTGGGATCTCTCCTTTCCCCCGTCTTGGAGAACATCCTATAATAAGGCAGCAGCCTGTCTTGCCCTATAGTTAAAGGCTGCGTTTTTTTTATTTCTCACCACAGGAGTGATGCTCTTCCTGCGCGTTGCGCAGCTGCCCTTGCTTGGTTACAGCTATCCAATGTAGCATTTCGGGCTTAAAGGTTAATACACTTAAAATCCGCTCTGGAGTATGTAACCTTTAAAATCCTAATTACACATCTTAAGTGTGTCAAAGCATTTAACTGAGCTGAAATTGCACAAAAGGTGTATTAAATGTCTCCAGCAATCTGTCGTCGTTTAAGGGCCTGCACGCATACAAATGAGTTTGGAGCCATCTTAAAGGAAAATTCCATTACTCCTATTTGGACAAAAAATTAGAAATCACTGGGGTTTTTTTTTGTTTTTGTGGGGTTTTTTTTAAACACATTTTTATCCATGTATTCATTGGGGGTATATCTTAAAACAGTTTGCAAACGTCACAGTTCTTGGGACCTGCAGTCTTCCCATTTTTCATGTTAAGTCTCTTCATGGGGAATTCATAGCCAATCAAAGCTCCAAAGGGCTCCCTGTGTGCATGTGCGCTAGCAGCATACTGGTCTAAGGTATGAAAGTGTACTCAAGTGGAGTGCGTCTGTCAGTTGTTTTAGCTCAGGGGATACCCCATGACCAAAAACCTACATTTGCTTAACACACTCGGGATTTGGGCAATGGATTTTTTATGTTCCTGGTGGTTTCGTTCTGTAGTCCTTGCAGCGTTATCAGAAAGATGGGAGTTTGAGCACAAGCCTCATACATTTTTGTAATGACGGTGGTTGTGGAGGGTATTGCAGCTGATTGGAACAGATTGAAAAACCTTGTAGGAAAGCATGCGCCGTGCATGCGCATTAGGTTTCCAGGTCGCTGTGACCTCGGCAGAGGAAGAGCCAGATTCGGAGCACTGGGACACTATAGATTTACATGGAGCTCTTCTCCTTTGTGCTGATTGGGCATATAAAGAAGCATTAGCTGAAGCAGCAGTGGGTCTCTCTGATTGGCTGAGAGTGTCAGCTGACTGCGGTCAGCTATCACATGCCCATTGCTGGCATTGCTTTGTAAGGCAAGAAGTAGTTGTGTAATCTCACTTTAGCCATATCTCCTGTAGGGTCAGGGCTGTTTACCTTTATTTAAAGGACCACTCTAGGCACCCAGACCATTTCAGCTTAATGAAGTGGTCTGGGTGCCAGGTCCTTCTAGGGTTAACCCATTATTTTATAAACATAGCAGTTTCAGAGAAACTGCTATGTTTATGAGTGGGTTAAGCCTTCCCCCAAAGCCTCTAGCAGCTGTCTCATTGACAGCCGCTAGAGGCGCTTGCGTGCTTCTCACTGTGATTTTCACAGTGAGAGCACGCAAGCGTCCATAGGAAAGTATTGATAATGCTTTCCTATGCGACCAGCTGAATGCGCGCGCATCGAGCCAACGGAGAGGAGAAGGAGAGCTCCTCGCCCAGCGCTGGAAAAAGGTACGTTTTTATCCCTTTCCCCCTTCCAGAGCCGGGCAGGAGGGGGTCCCTGAGGGTGGGGGCACCCTCAGGGCACTATAGTGCCAGGAAAACGTGTATGTTTTCCTGGCACTATAGTGGTCCTTTAAGGTTTAAATATTATTTTACACTGAATGTAGGGGACTGTGCCAGGGCAAGCCTCCCAACTGTTCAAGTGTTGTTTTCCGCCCCGACTTAGGCCTCGATTTAATATTGTTGGTTAAGCTATCCAAACAAATTATATCATATATATGTTAAGATTAAAAAATAAATAAATATATATATATATATATATATATATATATATATATATATATATATATATATATATATATATATATATATATATATATATATATATATATTAATAATTTCTGCACTCGGTCTTTTTATTCCTTCATGGTTAAAATGTGCACATGTTAAAGTGTTAGTGATGCCAAAACAGGTCGACATTTCAGTCCCAGCATGGGACTTTCCTCAGGAAATATCTTTTTATATTGGTGGTTCCCAAACCAGTCCTCAAGGAACCCCTACCAGTTGAGGATTTAGGGATTACCCAGTTTGTCTAAGGTGTTTTTAGAAAGAGAAATAACACCTTAGACACAACAAGGTAATCCCTAAATCCTGGACTGGTAGGGGTTCCTTGAGAACTGTATATACAAAAAAAAAATCAGTATATCACATATTACAAAATGAAACCATATTTAAAATAAAAAAAAGTATTCTTTATTTTAAATGTGCATGTCCACATATCACGAGTTGCAATGACGTATGTAAAAGATGCGTCATGTCTGGATACAGGCTGAAATAAGTACATAAATTGTCTAGATGAACTGCACACATTTTTATACTTTTGAAATAGGTCATGGTACGAGAACTGGTAACAGTGCAAGCGCTTACTGCTACCAGTGTCCCCGTTAGACGTTAGGCTAACATGCAATATCACTTCCAATGAGGCTGAGACTCTGTGTGTAAGCAATTTCAGCATTATAAAGTAAAAGGTGATATCAAGAGATAAACAAGATGTTACTGCTATATCTGTTAGTCAACCTGTGGGGTATATGTAGCCCTAGTGATTATGAGGCCTGCAGAGGCCTCAGTTGGTCGTGTAGCAGGAATAATCAGGACCTTTTTATAGTCCATTTTTGTGTGCCATAGAAATGTGTGGCCGCCATCAGCTGTACTACTACGAACAATTTAACATGAGTAACTGAGGTTAATAACACAGGTCTGCTTAAACTAGGCATGTCATATCCCTCTTCTTACTAGTCAGCCGACTGATCGGAACTTAGAGTGCGTGCAGTGTGCTCAGAGTGAGTCTTGGCTGATTCGAGGATTGTTCATTGGGAGTCCCAAGAGAGTGAGGAGTATTGGTATATCTGCCTTCTATGTAGCACTGTGGGTAGTCCCATTATGGGTGATCATTAGGACCCTTAGCGTCCCCCAGCGGTAAGGCATGCCCGCTGTTCTCAGGCGGCTTGTAAGGAGATGCATTGACCTCCACCAATGCAGTGTGGCTCTTGTTAAGTCCTGAAAGAAGAGCAATTGGGAGTTTTTAAATGCCAGAGGAGTCTTGACACTCACCGCAGCCATTGTTAGTTTTGTCTTGTGATGTGGCACAGCGCAGGATGAAGGATCCTGCGCTTCTGTGGATGGTGAGTTGGGCCCTGCCAGTTTACGGTATATGCCCTCCAGAGTTATTTTCCGAGCCACTGATGGAGGCCATTAGTTTCCTGAGGAAATGTAGCAGTTCATCTGTGGTGATCGTGGCAGATGCACCGCGGATCTTGATGTGGTTGCTGTGCAAGCAGTCCTCTTGGGTGGATACCTGCACCGCAAGCGCGGTGGGCTGCTTGTAATGTTTGCAGTGTATACGTAAGATTGGACACACTGCTGTTTAGTTTGAGAATGTCCTCCTCCATTGCACTTACTTGCTCTGTAGTCTGGCGAACATCTGCCTTCATGGTGCCGATATCTGTGGCAAGCTTTTTCTGGAGTTCCTGCATCCATTGTTGGAGGTCCTGCTTTGTGGCAAGAGTATTATCCCCTGTTTATCTAAGGACTGGGAGTGTGGTGTCATGTTCTCACTCTGCCCGTGGTGCCTGTAAGTGGGTTTATGGTGTAGGCCACTCCGGAGCGGTTAAGGCCTCTGTGGTGGCCATCTTGGATGGTGCCTGCCGCTGCAACATCACTCCGATATCTGACTTTTATGCTGAAAAGCCCAGCTGCAGCTTCTGTGTGCGGCGCCTCATTGCTTCGGAGGTGCCGCTAGGTGTAGAGGTGTCTCCCCCTTCAGTGTCTGGATTGTCATACACCCGAGTGCCTCCAAGGAGAATCTCCAGGCTGTGGATGGCCGGTGGAAGGTAGGCCCTGTTTTTGCGTTTTGCCTTTCCCGGACTTTGGGGGTTGGTAGTAAGGCATCTGTTACTCTTAAAGCCCTGGGTCTGTTTTCGGTCAGTCTAGTCGGATTGTTGATAATATGAGATATTTGCAGATTGTATGTATCGAGGTTTGGAGCCGACATAAATGGCGTCTGTTTAGCTCCGGTCCAAGCCCCGCCGCCCATAAAACATTTTTTAAAATATGTAATTTGAATAAATAATAATTGAAACAAACACTAACATTTTCTTGAGATTCAAATATTCCAATTTACTGACTTTATTGGATGCCAAATTGTCCCTGCAATATTCCGAAAATTATGTGTATGGTCTGGTGACATTAAAATACTGGTGTGATGTAAACCATGTTTGTATTTCTTATCTGCAGGGTGATGTGGGGCTTGCTATGGGCAAACTCTATGGGAACGACTTCAGCCAAACTACTATCTCCCGCTTTGAAGCCTTGAATCTTAGCTTTAAAAACATGTGCAAATTAAAGCCTCTTCTGGAAAAGTGGCTTAATGATGCAGGTACGTCAACTGCAGGCTGTGCGTTTATTACCCCAATCCAGTATTAAAGCAATATAGTATTTTAACTCTTCTGTGCAAAGTGGTGATCCTGGTACTTTAGGCATTTTAAGTAATCTGTAACTTCTCCAAAGGGGCATTGTCCCTTCCCAGGATTTTTAAAGGAACATGCCAAACACACAAACCACTTCAGCTTGGAGTCGGTCTTGCTTGCTTATTTTGCAGTTTACAAAAGCGCTGCTTTTAGAAATCTGCACTTTTATAAATCTTCCCCAGCTAATAAATTAAAACACTGGCTGTTTGAATACTTGCATTGGGTTGGGCACCAGGGCACTCCTTGCACCAGGACAGTGCACTGTAGTGATTGTGGTGCTTGGAGTTTTCATTAAGAGATTGTCATGGTCGGCCGGGTATGTTTATGTATGTATTTACTAGACATGGGCACTGACTTGATTTTAATATCATCTAAATACATTCAGACAGATAAAAATTAGATTTGTCCGAACCGAATTTCCTCTGTTTGTTCATTCGTTTTGGGATGAAATTCGACCATTTTTTTTTTTTTTTTGTAATTTCATTCGGACAAATGAAATTCCAATCCGTGGCCCGTGCTGCAGCTGCTTGCAACCTGTGCATTTTCCCCTTTATTGGATTATCAAGTACAAAGCAATAGCTGCCCAGTCACTTTTTTTTTTTTTTTTTTTTAAATCCTCCCTTATAATAATATAGGGATCGTAGTGACCCATATTGCCTAAAGGTGGTGATGGGATATAGAGGGAATTATGAAGCATTCTATTTTTAAGTATTACAAGGAGGGAGCCGTGAGCTGGTCGCTATCTTGTAATATTGAACAAAAGAACTAATTGCACAAACGAAAGTACATTCAACAAGCAATTCGTTCTTCATTTTGTAATTTGTGTTTGTTTTTTGGATGAATGGACAAATAGACGAAGTTCGGAGAAAAACATGTTTTTCCCAGAACGTATGCCCATTTCTAATATTTACATGCTCCATACACCTTGTTTTTGTGTTTACATATCATTGACTTACGAAGTGGTAAATTGCTGCTCAGTGGGTTTAAGATGAATGTTCTGTAACAATGCTTTAACCTTCTGTCTTACAGAGAACATTACATCGGACTCTGCTCTCACCAGCCAAAGTGTTCTGAGCTCCCCTGGGCATGGGATCGAGGGACTTAATCGCAGGCGAAAGAAACGCACCAGCATAGAGACCAACATACGAGTGGCCTTAGAGAAGAGTTTCCTGGAGGCGAGTGGTCCTTTGTAAATAACAAAGTACAGTATCGGGGATTAATCCCCACACGGAGTTAAGCAAAATGTTGCAGGAGATTTTTTTTTTCATGTGTTTCAATTCCACACTAAAATTACTCCCCAACTGGCATTTCTATTGGGACGGTCCATCCTGCAACAAGAATCGAAATCAAAGTAAACGGAAGCTTTCTCGTAAAGCATTTCTTAATTGTATGTTTAAAAAAAGCAATCTTTATTTTACATAATACTAATAAAAAAACGCTAATGTAAGCACGTAAAAGATTGGGTCTACATTTTATGAAGACCGAAGTGTTGAAACCTTGATAAGGCTGACAAACAAAATGCAGCTGTAGATGTTTGGACAGTTCGGTTGTTTGTGTTTTTTTGTTTGTTTATTGTTTTCTTGTTAACTGAAAATCGCACAGACAAAATGACATGTTCTGGAATTTCTCAGTAAGTCGGAATAAGGATTTTAGATTACATTCTTGGTTAGATATGTTGTCAGTGAATAGATGATCCAGGCAGCCGCTATTTGAATCTGTTGGGTTGATGTTGGGATGATTTCATATTGATTGCATTTTTTAAAGTGGTATAATAATATCTGTACCGTTTGAATAACGCTTTACAGAACCAAAAGCCTACCTCGGAGGAGATCACCATGATTGCTGACCAGCTGAACATGGAAAAGGAGGTGATCCGTGTTTGGTTTTGTAACCGGCGGCAAAAAGAAAAAAGGATCAATCCTCCAAGCAGCTGCGCGTCCAGCACTTCACCTATTAAAGCAATGTTCTCCAGTCAGACTCCACTGGTAAGTCGTTGTTCAGGATATGCATTCTGTAAACCCTGCTGTGCTTCCCTCCTAATAAGTAAAGCTAAAACTCTCCTAGATCCAATGCCGAGGCCAAGCTTTTCCTGCAGCCCGAATCTTCCTTTGCTGACCTCACTCCAGCTTACTGAATGGGGAGGACCTGTCTGAAGTCAGCACTCACAGCTTGCTGGTACTAGACGCCATATTTGCACAGGTTCACATTAGCCACCCAGAACTTTTGTATCCGGCTGGCAGCAGAGGGAATAAACTCTCTATGTGCTGCATTTCATAGCAAAACGCGGCACATATAAACTCCACGCACTACGACCACTTCATCAAGTGCTCGTGGTGTTTGCATAAACCACTTTGTTTTTATATAATTTGTCTATAAATATATATAAGGAAAAAGAAGAGATTATGAAGCGCTCTTTTTGTTAAAAGTAACATGAGTAGACAGACACATGATTTTTCAATGCTTTAATTGTGGAAGTGTAGATACAGCAGTAAAATTCTAAATAGTCTCTCTGTAAAAATTCCAATTTTGTGTCTAGTAATTCACTACTGATCGTGTAGTTTGATGCGTTTTTAAAGGCAATTTGTTATGAGTTATGGTGGGTTTTTCTCAATTTCTTCAATATAAGAACATGCATAAAATTAACACTATTCCGAAGACATCTTATTTAGCAATGATGTTAATTCTGAAAAATTTGCTTTTTATATTTTTTATTTTCCCGTCTGTGTAATAGTATTTGTATTTTAGTAATTTCTCTCTGACATACCAAACAAATAAACTGTATAACATAACAAGGAACCCAGGTTCTAAACAACATAGTCTTGGATAGCCCTGGCCCTTTGAATATCCTGTTCTGCAGCCTGCGTCTGGGACCTAGTGTTTGCTTACCAGAATTCTAGAATTGAATAATGGGCTCTGGTTTGTAGGGGGTCTCTGTGACTACCCATCATGAAGGCCTGTAGTCTGTCTGGATACTTCCAGGTGATGCTTGTTATACACAGAACCACAGTGTGTGTGCAGTCATGTAGATTTCTGTCTCCGTAATCTGGGTAAAGCGATAAAACGGATATTGTTGTGTTTTAGTTCCTTTTGAGAATCGTGCTTAAACCTAGATATGATTCCCTTTATCCTGGTTCCTGAGATCCAGTAGTGTTTCCCACTGCCAGGTGATTGGTCATAGGCTGAAGGAAAGGCTAGGTAACTCAAGCTTTTGACTTATTTCTGTCAGCAGCACTCTGGTCCACACTTTACAACTAAATTTAGTTATTTCAACCAAATGAGCCCATCTTATTTGGTACTGTTTAATGTCTGCTTTAAAATCAGTAATTCTGACACAGAGACCTTATTTAACATGTACATGTATATTAAACACCAGATTTCTACCAGTCTCACTCTAAACAAATCCAGCAAATTTGCTAAATACATTAACGCTTGTGCAGGGGAACCTGTAGAAGTCCTCAATATTTGCCCCTGGCAGGAAAAATTAAAATAAATTATTGGACCTCTATTGAGTTAACTCTTCCCAGGCATAAACTATAAAATATTGATAATTACAATTTTTGTGTTGGCTGCCTGCAAATTCAGAACTACAAAGAATTCCTTTTTGGTTCCATGTTTCATTGATTCGCTCCATGTTTCCAAGATTTCAGCCATTCAGTAGGATCTGGACAATTTGAGATCCAGTGAACATTTAAGTTTATTCTGCAATTGTACTGCAAGAACCAGACATGGTTACATTTTGTGAACAATGTCAGGATTTTAGCGTCTGAATGCTCTTAATTTTTTATTTATTTATTTTTACATTTTTTTTTTTTTTTTGCTATTCCGGAATGATGGGCATTAGAACGTCCGTGACTAACCCTGTACCAAGTACTTTGTCACATGTTCAATAAAGTGAGGTAGAGAAAACAAGATATTGGCTTGCAATTTACAAGTTTACAATACAAAATGCAGTACTGCAGGTGAGATCCACATACCAGATGAAATACTTGCAAAAAGCAGGCTACTTCATTAGTGAGATTCATCCCTTTCCAGCAAAACAGATGGTAACAGTCTAATACGTATCCTTCACAAGACAATCTGTCAGTAGATATGGAGGAAGCTCTCAGAAGTTTCCATAGAGGAGTGCTGCCTATATGCATACAATCTGAAGCTTTGATGGGCCTGACAGTATACTTTAAATGTACAGAAAATTGTGATGCATTGAGTTATACTGTTGATATACTCTATATCTGTGTCTCTGCAGCTGAGCTACATCCCAGATAGTCTGTGCCCTCCAGGTGACAGTGATTTCTCTTTTGATTTTTAGATGGCCAGTACGCCAAGCCTTGTGACAAGTAGTACATCCACTACATTGACTGTAAACCCAGTGATCCCTCTCACTAGTGCTGCTGCTGTAACCAGCTTTCCTGCCCTTGGTAAGTCGGAAAAGGTTTTGCCACATATTGTAAAGCTTTAGAGCAGTGTTTCTCTCTGCTTGACTACTTATTACATTTATCATGTTTCTCAGTGAACATTTATTGACACTAGTGGTGTTTTTGAACTTTAACCCCTTAAGGACCAAACTTCTGGAATAAAATGGAATCATGACATGTCAGACATGTCATGTGTCCTTAAGGGGTTAATAGGGACCCAAATTTAGTCCATGGGATGATGTATGTGAAAGAGATTGGCATCTACCTGCCATCCAAACACCCGCTGGGCCAGTCACTAAGCTTCCAGTTTTTGCAAATTAAATCTGAATGAAAAAACGAAGGCACATATAGCTGGTCTGGAATTTCTCAAACTCAGCCGTAATCGCAGCTTTACCATTTGGATTTATTTTGCAAAAAAAAAAATCTGAGTTTAGTGAATAATCTAGTTTCATTGTTAATACAATTTTATTTTAGTAAATTCCTCCAGATTTCACTGAAATTTTAACTTCAGAAGACTGACCGATTGGTAGTAGCAGGAGAAAAAGAATTGAAACAAAACACTTTGCAGAAAAATTTATAAATCTGTTGCACTGACAACAAAATGGTTAGAGTACCAAAAAGTAACAGATGAAAATTTCAGGCAGACTTAATATGGTGTGCCAAAAATTAGAACACAAAGTGTTAACACTGTCTGTTTCTAAACAGGCGAATAGTACCAAATATTTGGACTCCTAGCCTGAGTTTGTTTTCAAGTGTCCTGTATGTGACGACATAATGATTATATTCAGGGCCGGTGCAAGGGTTTCTGCCGCCCTAGGCAAAGATCCATATTGCCGTCCCCTCATGTCACTTACTGACGGGCACGCGCTCACTGACGGGCACACAGGCACGTGCTCACTGACTGGCACATGCTGCCACTTGCGCTCACTGACACAGACTTGGACATCCAGCCTTCCTACCACCCCTGGGTTCCAGTGTGGGGCAGCTCCTCACTCCTCCAGCGTGCTGTTCAGTATGCCGGGGGCTGAAATGTCATATTCAGACTCCCGTCATTAGAGGGCGTGCGAGGGAGGAGTGGGAAGCTGCAAGAATAGCCTCCCTTGCCGTCTGCCTCCTCCGTCCGCCTCTCCTCCGGACGGTCACCGGCATTTGTTGGCAGAGCAGATACCTGCCATCAAGGTAAGCAGGTGCCTGCTCTGCCTTACCTAGCACTGCCTCGGGGGTGCCCTGACATGACCAGATGGCCACCTCCTGGGCCCCCTGTGACAGGGCTTCTCTGGGCCCCCCCATTTTTGGGTGCCTTGAGGATCGGCCCGGTGTTGGGGGGCGCTCAAGAGCTGCTTGCCTAGCGCTGCGGACCCAGACAGGGGGAGCCCACCAGTAAATATCCCAGTGGGCGCCCCCAGCAGGCTGGCGTCCTAGACGAATGCCTAATTTGCCGAATGGTGGCGCCGGCCCTGATTATATTGCACAAAACAAACAAGGTAGGAATTGTCATGCAGTTTCCATGCTGACCAACATTTTGGCTTTCTGTTTATTGGCAGATACTTCATGCTCATTTTGGGTAATATTTTAAATGTTGGATGAGATCCTTGTAAAACAAAAAACACCTTTTATTTAGCTAAAATTGCACCTTTCATTTCAGGCACAACAGTAACACCTTCAGCCAACACGGCAACTGTGATATCTACAGCTCCCCCTGTGTCCTCTGTCCTGACATCATCGCTGAACCCCTCCCCATCAGCCCCTGCAACCGCTTCAGAAGCATCTACCGCTAGTGAGACAACGACGACGCACACCACCTCTACTCCACAGACCTCACCATTGAATGCTGGCCAGGTGATGGTAACAGCATCTGGAATCCACACGGCAGCCCCCACGGCGCTACAGGGTGCAGCACAGCTGCCTTCCAATGCCAGCCTTGCTGCCATGGCTGCTGCCGCAGGTTTCAACCCTGGGCTGATGGCTTCCTCACAGTTTGCTGCTGGGTAAGTAATCATTAGCAACATTAGGCCAAGATCAAGACTATTCTTTAAAGGGTTACTCCAACCAAAAACATTTTTCTATAAAATACGTTTTTTGTTTAGAGTAACTTTTGCTACATTGGTTACCCCCTCCTGCCAATAAAGGTAAATAAAACTTGCCACTGTTTCAGTGCCAATGCCAAGTTCTCTCTGCAGCCTGATCACTTGAGGGGCGGGATGTCAGGGAGGGTAGGCTGAAGGGAGAAAAGTATATCATAAAGAGGGTGCAGACAATTGCCTAATAAATTGTGAAAAACACATGTCCCTTCCTATTACTACCACCACAAGAAAAAATTAACATTTGACCAACTGATAAGGCAGGGAGTGAATCCCTTTAAAAAGGCAGAATATTAAAAGGTACAGCCACTCAGATAACCAATGATAGAAAAGGAGAAAAATATAACAGATGTAGGCTAAAGGTAGGGCATGAGCGGCAGTCTGTGCTAATGAGCTCTTGTTCTACTTCAAATCAAGTGGTCATGGTGCTCGGTGTAACCATTTTAGTCCTATTGTAGCAAATTCACATTGGAAGCTCTTGATTGTGGAATTGTGGAAACTTACCGGGCAATTTTAGTGAGTGTTTTTAGTTTATTCAATGGTTTTGGCCAAATGGCAACAGCACATTTCTGGAAACTACACCACTAAATAAATAATTGAAAATCTGTTTTAATTTGTGTTAACGATTATGTCCTATGATGTGCTGCTTACTTTTAAATGTTTATAAAAGAGGAAATATCACTTCTGCCCTTTTATCCCATCCAAATGGCCATCTAAAATTTAGGTACCTGTTCGGAGTTTTTTAGGGTTTTTTTTGGACTACTTTTATCTTAGCTTGCATACTTTGCTGGCCATGGCTAAGCAAATATGTAAATTAGTTGACTCTCGCTGTGCCATGCACAGACACATGAAAGTAATGAGATAGTGACATTGGAATGGGGAAGGACAGCAGCGGCAAGTACTTTAAAAAAAATAAAAATTCTCCTTTTTCTTCCACCCCAGTGAACACTGAAATAGAATTTATTGGAGTGAAGCAACAAAGAACTGTCCTTTCTATTGACAATTCCTCTTTAAATATTTCCGTTCTTCTTCTTTCTCTATCTTGAATTATATGTGCAAAGGGCAGAACTTATAATGTATAATAAAATAAATACAGGAAGTGATGGTTAAACTCTTTCCAGCCTCTAGTTTTTGTTTAGCCAGCAGAACATGTCTTAATGTCTGTATACCGTTACAGGTTTCTACTTCCGAAAGGGATAACTTTCCCCTATGTGGAAGTTACTTTAGTTACTTTAGTTTTATCCCCATAACAGGATCTAGTCACATTTGTCACACGAGAAATACCTTAACTCTAAAGAAGGTGATTTGGTGAAGTTCCCAAACAGTGTCAAAATATTTCCCCCATATTTTTAAGGGCATGTCGAATTGTTGTTGTTGTTTTTTTGTTTTGTGTTTTGTGCTGGGGCTATTCTCCTTTATGGAAATATATGTAAATGGGTCAATTTTGTATTTTTTCAGCTCCAGACAGCTTTGCCCTGTCAAGGGCGGCTTGAAGCCGGGCCTAGCTTTGTACCCAGAGATCTGGGATTTTCAGTTGGGTGCCGCGAATTCTATAGGAAGTATGAGGTCAGCAGAATTATCGAAGTGATCAGCAGCTGAATTAATACAAATGATTTTAAAGTGTGCACATGTCCCCTCAGTATAGTCTGCCTTGGCAAATCATTGACTCTGTTATTTTGCAGGAATTTAACCATTAAAGGGACACTCCACTGCCCAAATGCAAAGAAGAATAAACTAATTTTTCATTGTGGTATATCCAGAAACTGCTTGCCACAACTGCAGATCTCTTGTTTGCCAGACCTCCCCTTCTAACTCCGCCCAGACTTTCTGTGGCTGTCCAATCACAGACTTCCCAATGCAGCTCAATGAGAAGTCTTTGCAAGACTGGTGTTTTGGGCAATTGCTGCTTCTTGAGTATAGCTCCCCTGACAGCCAGGGGGTATAACTAGGTTCATTTATTAAGGTGTCAATTTATGTTGAAACCTGCTAATTTTGTAACTGACAGCTGACACTCCTCACACACAAAACATTTGAGCAAAATTAAATGCTTTCTAGAGTGACCCTTTGAATGCCTCACTATTGAGCGACACACTACATACTGCTTTTAACCATGAAGTTATATCATTGGTGATATTTACTGCACTCGTGTTACCGACTGTCCTGAAATGACTGTGTTTGTTTTACAGAGGTGCCTTATTCAGTCTCAACCCCGGGACACTGGGCAGTGCTTTGAGTCCGGCTCTCATGAGTAACAGTACACTGGCAACAATTCAAGGTCAGTGAAATCTTACTTATTTGTTAATTTTTGTTTAGTATTTTGAATGGCTGAAATCAACCAGGAAATGCACCCAAGAAGATGAACTCACTAATGTGTGAGTTGTTGAGAATTTAAAGAAAGCGTGGACCCTTGTCAAACTGTATTAAAAAGGTTTGGCTTCTTAATGTGGGGCAGTGCCAGAACACTTCAGCTATTACAATGACTTGTAGTGGTTATGGTGCTTGGTGTGTTGCTATAAATTCCTGAAAATTCACACTTTAGTAAATAACAACGAAAGGGTTAAATAAAATGTCCATGAAAATAAATTATCTGCATGAAATTTTTTTTTATATTGTATATTGCTGGATTGGTGCCTTGTAATGTTTAGTGTGTTTAAAACTGGAGGTGTTTTTTTTTATTTTTTTTATCCTCTTATCACAACTTCTAATTCTCTCTATGAAGAGCATTGGTGGACCAAGGGTACTGCTTTACCTTAAAATACATTTACCCTGACAATTTCTGAACCAAAACAAAACCTAGAATTGTACTACATGCCTGTTCAACCATAATTTACGGATTTCATACCCACTCTTGTATATTTTGTTTGGTAGAAGTATGGCTTTCTTAGAACACCAATATTTATATATGAAATATAAAATAGATCAAATCCAAAAAAAGAGTGGGAAATAATACTGTTAAATTTACTGCTCTAAAACACGTGTTCAGGGATACAACAGTAGCCCCCATGTACAGGTTTTATGGGGTTTTGGAAAGTTACAGGGTCAAATATAGGGCTTGCAAATTAAATTCTCTGCACTTTCTGCCTGAGTTGTCCAGAAGATTCCCCCAATATATCCTTAATAAAAGCACATAATTATGTTAAAATAATACATAAATATTAATGTGTAGAATAAAAATTGTATATATTAATGTGTGCATGTAGGTGTGTGTGTGTGTGTGTAGGTGTGTGTGTGTGTATATATATATATATATATGTGTGTATATATATATATATATATATATGTGTGTGTATATATATATATATATATATATATATATATATATATATTTCATGTTTCCCCTTATTCTAAGTGTATTTCCTAAACACTTCCTGTAAAGTGAGATCTAATATATATTTTCTTTATTGCACATTGTTTCATTTAGAATTTATCTCATGCACTCTTGTTTGCTAGACCTTGCAGGAGCCTCCTGTCTGTGATTAAAACGTTTTTAATTTATAGAGCAGGAGATTAAAACTTAAAGGACCACTATAGGCACCCAGACCACTTCAGCTTACTGAAGTGGCCTGGGTGCCAGGTCCATCTAGGGTTAACCCTGCCTGCTGTAAACAGCAGTTTCAGAGAAACTGATATGTTTACATATGGGTTAATCCAGCCCCTAGTGGCTGTCTCATTGACAGCTGCTAGAGGCGCTTACGCGCTTCTCACTGGGATTTTCATAGTGAGAAGACGCCAGTCTATAGGAAAGCATTGAAAATGCTTTCCTATGGACGGACTGACTGCGCACGCGGCTCTTGCTGCGCATGCGCATTCAGCTGATAACGTCCAAAGGAGGAGGAGAGTCCCCAGCGCTGAGGGAGCCCGGCGCTGGAGAAAGGTAAGTATTTAACCCCTTCCTCCCACTTCAGCCCGGCGGTAGGAGGGCCATGAGGGTTGGTGCACCCTCAGGGCACTATAGTGCCAGGAAAAAGTTTGTTTTAATGGCACTATAGTGGTCCTTTAAGTTCATCTGATTGAAAATGTAACCATTTTTCCCCCATGCAGTCTGTGTCACAGCCAGGGAAGGAAGGCCAGGATAGCATGGACAAAACCAAATGTGATTTCACTCCTAAATAGCAGAGAATCGAGCAGTGAGACTTCAGACGCATGATCTATACACAAAAACTGCTTTATTAACCCCTTAACGACCGAGGACGGTCATCGGCATTTTTGTGTTGCCGACCAATGACGGTCCTGAACCGTCCTAACGGTCTGAGTTACTTACCTGATCGCCGTCGTTCCCCCGGCGGCGATCAGCGGTGCTCCCGTTGTGGGGAGACTGCCTGCAGCCCAGACAGTCTCCCCACACTGAATTAGGACCCCTGTGGCCATGTGATCGCTCAACACAGCGTTCACATGGTCACAATAGGTGTCCATTTGTCTGCCTGCAGGGGGACTGTCTGTGCTGACAGGCAGTCTCCCTGCTAGTGTAAAATCATAAAAAAAAAATAATAAAGTTAGTGTTTATAAAAAAAATAATAATTATATATGTGTATATAAATATGATATATAGACATATATATCTATATAATATGTCTATATATCATATATATAATGCCATACTAAGTGTATTTTTATATTATGTGCTTATATTAATATAAAAATACACTTATAATTAAATTACACACGTGTATATATAATATATATAATTATATATATTTATATATTATAAAATATAAATAAGTAATTTAAATTAAATAAATTTTTAAAATAATAAAAAAATTAAAAAATTATATCTATGAAATTTTATTCTAACTGTATTTTAAAATGTGTGTGTGTGTGTGTGTGTGTGTGTGTATATATATATATATATATATATATATCTATGTATATATATATATCTATGTATATATAAATAAAAATAATACGAAATATACATATGTCCATATACAAAATTACATAAATAATTATATAAATATACACGTAGACTTCAAATATATAAATATGCATATATATTTAAATTCTACGTGCATATTGATGTAATATTTTAACATAACTCAGTAATTTTTATTGATTGCAATTTGAGGGACCTGCCTGCCAACCCAGGCCGAAATTCCAGAGAATTTAATTTGCTAGCACTGTATTTTACCCTGTAACGTTCTACATGGGGGGTACTGTTTTACTCGGGAGACTTCGCTGAACACAAATATTATTGATTCAAAACAGTAAAACATATCACAGCGATGATATTGTCAGTGAAAGTGACTTTTTTTGCATTTTTCACACACAAACAGCATTTTTACTGATGATATAATTGTTGTGATACGTTTTCCAGTTTTTAAACACTAATATTTGTGTTCAGCGATGTCTCCCGAGTAAAACAGTAACCCCCATGTACAGGTTTTATAGCATTTTTGAAAGTTACAAGGTCAAATATATGGGTCAAATATTTTACATTGAAAATGGCCAGGTTGGTTACGTTGCCTTTGAGAGCGTATGGTAGCCCAGGAATGAGAATTACCCCCATGATGGCATACCATTTGCAAAAGAAGACAACCCAAGGTATTGCAAATGGGGTATGTCCAGTCTTTTTTAGTAACCACTTGGTCACAAACACTGGCCAAAATTAGCGTTCAATTTAGTTTTTTTACTTTTTCACACACAAACAAATATGAATGCTTACTTTGGCCAGTGTTTTCGACTAAGTGGCTACTAAAAAAGACTGGACATACCCCATATTGAATACCCTGGGTTGTCTACTTTAAAAAAAATATGTACATGTGGGGTGTTATTCAGAGATTTATGACAGATAATAGTGTTACAATGTCACTATTGATAAATTTTAAAAATGTATGTTTTGAAACCGCAATATCCTATTTGTACCTATAACCCTATAACATGCAAAAAAAAGCACGTAAACACTGGGTATTTATAAACTCAGGGCAAAATTTAGAATCTATTTAGCAGTTTTTTTCATTCGCTTTTGTAGATGAGTAAAAGATTTTTCAAGTAAAAGTAAAAAACATGTATTTTTTAAAATTTTTCATCATATTTTTTTTATTTTTTTAAAATTAAAATACATGAGATTATATAAATAATGGTATGTAAAGAAAGCCCATTTTGTCCTGAAAAAAAAAATATATAATTTGTATGGGAACAGTAAATGAGAGAGTGGAAAATTACAGCCAAACACAAACACCACAAAAGTGTAAAAATATGCCTGGTCGCAAATGTACAACATCGCAAAAACAGTCCAGTCCTTAAGGGGTTAAGCAAAAGTTGTTTTGCTTACGATAGTGTCCCCATAGGAAAGCATTAATTCTATGCTTTCCTATAAGGAGGATTGGATTAGACATCAGTGGAAGAGGCTATGGCCTCCTCCATTATGTCATAGAAGGAGGAGAGGTAAACCACGCTTAGTGCTCCTCTGCGCTGAAAACTCAAGGTAAACATATTTATTTTTTAATGTACATGGGGGAAGGGTGTCTTAAAACGTGTAGGGACAGGGACACTATAGTGTTGGGAATCCAGATTTATATTCCAAACACTATAGAGTTCCTTTAAAGGTAAAAATTATTCATCAGTATTAATGTGTTTTTTTGTTTGTTTGTTTTTTGTTTGTTTTTTATCCATGTCTAGCTCTTGCATCTAGTGGATCTCTTCCAATAACCTCGCTAGATGCAAGTGGGAATCTGGTTTTTGCCAATGCTGGAGGGACTCCTAACATTGTGACTGCACCCTTATTCCTCAATCCACAAAACCTCTCACTGCTCACCAGCAACCCTGTTAGCTTGGTCTCTGCAGCCTCCACTGGAGCCACTGGACCCATCACAAGCCTTCATGCTACCACCTCTGCAATTGAATCCATCCAGAACTCTCTCTTCACTGTGGCTTCAGCCAGTGGAGCAGCATCTACCACCACTTCGGGATCCAAGGCACAGTGAGTTGAACTGAGACACACTGGCTCCAGCCGGATCACGGCTGCCATGTAGCTTTCTGCGACTGATCAACTAAAGAAAGTAAATCTGCGTGATCTGTCTGCCTCTTGAGGAAAAGGAAAGAGGGGAGAAGGTGTAAAATGACGAGAACAAATAACGCAAGAACATTTTGCCTAATTTTATAATAAACATTTCTCTTTTCAGGGTGACCACTGATCAGAGAACTTTCTAACCAAAAATGTAAAAATTTAAGGAAAAAATTCACGGGGGAGGGGGAGGGGGGGAATTACAAAAAAGGAAAAAAAGAAAAAATTACAAAAAAAGTGAAAAGACTACTTATCATTTCCAGCAGTCACGTGGACAAGTTAAGGTTGGTTATCAAAAATATCAGAAATAGGAAGGGGGAATTTGGTTTGATCGAAATACTTTTTATTTTATTTTTGTTCATTTTTTTTTATTTTGTATTGGTCTGTTGTACAGACCTCTTGTGTCATGCAAGGTGTTTATATTCATATCAAAATGTTGGGGTTCCTTTCTTAACTGGTACAATTTAGGCAGGCCTGTATTGCTGGTGTTTTTATTTTGTTTTGTTTTTTTTGGTCTTCAGTTCCTCTGTAGATGAATTTCCTGGACAAGGTTGTTCCCTCTGTTGCAGTTTGCTGTGAATATCACGCACATTGTGTCCAATCTTCTCTGCCATTCCTCTGACTTAATTTTCTACACTTGGTGCACAATTCTAAGCCAGTAATCCCATGGGTCTGGCAGGACAGTGCTAGGCCATCCAGTCATCATTTGACTACATATTCAAGAACAGGAGAGTCCAAACTTGGCCCTACAGCCATTGGAGTCACATGTTGGACACTCTTGATATTGATGGCAGTGACTACTTGAAACTGGCATGTTCACGTTTTATGAGTGTCCTCCTTGTACACTGGCAAACATGGCTTTTGGGATGTTGCTACCCAAAACATATTTCTGGTGTTTTGACTAATCGTGTCCAAAAGCCAAAATATCTGCTACTCCTTGGCCTGTCAGAGCATGGAAACTCACTCCGAATGGTGTGTGCAAATTAGTCAGGTTGAGATAAGGCCTTGTGTGAAAAAAGGCAAAGCTTGCCATCAAGCAGTCTTTAAATGGGAGATTATGATTATGAAACCAGTACCAAGAAGTTACAGCTCTACAGAACATATATGTGGGGAAATGGCACCCTAAGTCTGTAAAACTTACACTCCGGTATTTAACAATGAATGATGCTGTTCTGCCATGAGCGTTGTTACGTGATAATTCCAATAACAGAGCTAAATACATTTTTTTTATTTGTTTCTGTGTTCTGTATGGAGTCCCTCGTTGATCTTGTGCTCAATGATGCTCTATTCAATAAATTATCCTTGGTCTGGTTCTATATGATGATCTGACCCTAAAGCCAAAGTGGTACACTACAGATATGTTACTCCTGAATGAGAAGCGCGATCCTAACAGATCATGTCTCATCAACTAGTCTGGCTATTTTGCACACATCTTTGTTTTTTTTTTGTTTTGTTTTTTAATCAGAAGCAGTTTTGGAGCAGGTAGGCCCGTAATATATGTCCAAGAGAGTGTATCTGAATGCCAAGAACGTACAAGGATGGAAAGTAGACTGCATTGTTTTTTTAGCTCTACATTTATGTATCGTTAACACTGCATACTGGAACCACTGCATTGCAGTTCACTCAACAGTCTAGAGCAAAAATGGTTTGAGCCCATTTTGAATTGACATTATGGGTTGGACATGCAGTGTGGCCTCCAAAAGCAAAATGGCCAATCGTAACAACTTGTCACAGTGAAACAGGTCACGTAACCCCGGTATTGCTGAATGCTTGATCTGGTCATGCACGGGCTTATGTGCTTATCCCAAATTATCAAACCTCTTTTTCCAATTCTAACCATGCAATATAGTGAACTGCAAGCGGTAAACTAACCCATGTCTCTCTACCTTGTATGTATGTAAGGTTGTTTTTTTTTTTTTATAATTTGTGTGTTTATTTTTTTGCGCACCTTTGTTGATGGAGAAAAGCCAACAGTGCATTTGGTTGCCGGCTCCCTCCAGCACAGCGGTGCGTTTACCAAGCTTGAACCAAAGTCAATTTCTAGCAAGCTGCTGTACTAATGGACTAGTTTGTATAAGTGCAGTTCAGGCGCAGTAAGTGACAAAGATAGATGCTACTGACAATTTGTTTTTTGTTTGTGTGTTTTTGGTGGGGGTTTCTTATATATAAATGTTGCTGCTTGTTTTGGGGGTTTTGTTTTTTGTTTTTTTTTCCTTAATTTTTTTCTTTATTTTTTTTAATTTTATTTAGGGCAAACTCTAACTCAGTTGTTCCTCTTTTGTAAATAATGTACTGGAGTCACTTGGATCCTCGAATCGGCCAACCCTTACCTCTCCTACCCACCTCCTCCTTTTCCTGACATTCCTCCCCATGGATGCATTTTGTTGAGTAGGCACGGTCAGTGCTATTCACGAACGTATGATTTGCTGGAAATTCAGAGTGAATGCAAACTGAATTTTTAAAATACAACCACATCAGAGAATTTTTATTTTTCCCATTTTGGCTATTGCATAAAATCTGAAATTCACTTTGATTTCCTGACAACTGTGTGTCGTTTGGCTGATGTTAATAGGTGTTTTGAAAGATCAGCGCGTGCAGAATCCATTTCTTTCCTGCATTTTCGGATTTTGTTTTCATAAACCATTTCCAATAAACAGAGTGGGTGGCACTTTTATTTATAGCTCACTTAGTTTTTTATTTTAATTAGTTTTTCTGGAAACGCAGAAGAGAATGTATGCAAAACACTCCCGAATAATTCACGTGTTTATTGTTGAGCGTTTAGTCCTGCTAACAATATTGTTTTTGTTGATTTATCAGACCATTGAAACATATTAATTGGTGCATTTTATTTTATCATTGAAACTGCTTATACCGTCAGTATAGAGACGTGCATTATCCACACTGCTCTTAAAACGCCTCCCCTTTTTGTTTACGCCTACTTAGCGTTGGGCAAGCTTTCTTCCACTTATTAAAGCCAGCATTTCTTGCAGATCTTGAAAGTGTTACCCAGTATCTGAAATCTTATCCTCTGCGATAGACTGGATCATGCAATACGTTTGCCTGGTAACACATTTATTTTCTTATGCGGACATTCTAAACACTATAACAATTAAGCCCATGCCTATGGTGTGGTATGTCTGTAAATTTTCTCTGACATACGTCAAACCATTATGGACACATATGGCAAAACAAAAACAAAAAACACTCTCCTGGAATCCACAGCTTTGTCAATTTTTAGCAGAGGCGAAGCAGCCAATACCAGTTGCGTTATTTGTTATAAATTTCAATGCCCCCATTAGAAAACCTGTTTAAATCTGGGGGATTAAGTGTTAGTGTTCTAAAACAATTGATATTGGTTATACATTTAGAAAACTAGGAAAATCTTGCCTGATTTGGGTTTCTGATAGCTAGACATAGTCTATATAAGAAGAGCCATCACTAGCCTCGATTTTTCTTTTGGATATTTTTTTTTTTTTCAAATGATCACAATCTGTTAGAGCAACTTTTCAAACAATTTCGCTACAACAATCACCATAGACTTTAATAGTGACTTGGAAAGTTTTTTGTAACAGATTTGAATAATTTGAAACGCCTATTAAATCAAGGCCATAGTTGGCAATCGCTACAGTTTATGTGAATTTAAGGAGTTGATTGATGCATGGAATGAGTACATTGCCTAAACAGGTAATTTCCTTCGGACAGTCTCATACAGATGTATTCCAGCGACACTCTGTAACCGATAACATTATCCTCTAACATAGACATTCCATCTGTGTGTGTAACTTTTATTTTTTATTTTTTTACATTCTTTCAGTCAAAAATACTGTTTTTCATAATTTGATCTCTAAGTACGGCATAGAAGGCATAATGAACAGTTTTCAAAGTGGATGGTGGTGTATTTCTCTCGCTGTGTTTGGTAAATGGTGAGTTCCACTAGAAATATCCTTGTGTGGACTGCAAGCTGTTGTATTTTAAGACATCTCTTATCTAAAAGCTTTACCCCATTGAGTGATATTTATTAATTTATTTTATTCCTCTCGTTCTCGCATTTCAACTCCTTGCATGGAATGTCTGTGTTGGAGGTTGGAAAAGTTATCTCAGAATCTATAACGAGGCTGTGATGTCAAAATTAGCTTCACCCATTATATTTGGGGAAAAAATAAAATTCTCAGTTTACCTCCCTCATTTGCTCCCCTGTCTCACACTCTAACCCTCTACCCCCATTTACGTATGTGGCAGCTCAATAGGACTGTTCGATTTTGAGATATTCCAAATAGTTTCTGGCTACCTAATAAAATACCTCAGCTTATCTTGGTTTTAACTTGGATGTACTCAAATATTCTGGAAAGTAACTGTATTCTTAATAGGTAAAATTTAAATTGTTTGTTTTTGTTTTGTTTTTTTGTATAATTCTATTCTGTTGGCTCCTCAATATATCATCAAGATGGTGAAGGTAAAGGGAAATGACATTAGTGATTTTTGGATTAAGTTTCATGTCATTTCTACCATAACTTGTCCAAAGCTTGCTTTAATGTCGAGCAAGGTTTGCCTTGAATCTTTAAGGTTAGTTTCGACAACCTACCACTCTGACATCCCTTGTGATTCAGGCTTTAGTGCAATCTCCACTCTGCTCCAATAAGGTTAATGATTAGACAGCAGGGCTGGTGTAGAAAACATTGTTATTATCATCCTCATCTAAAACGCATCCTAACCAGTCCACCATTGGGAGGGAGTGAGAGGGAATCCACAAGATGGTCATTTTACCTATCTCAAACTTTGAATCCCACTTGGGCGCATTAACTGTAAACCGATTGGTCCTGTTTATTACCCTCTTATTTTTCTGTAGTATTACTAGCCATGTTAGTTTGTCAATCCTATCAAAAAAAAAAACAATGTCTTTATATTTTTTATATATATATTATTGCTTCTATGCTCGTCTTTACCAAAAAGAAAAAAGTAACCAAAAAGCAAATAAAATGTGAATACAAAAATGGAGAAGGGAAATACTTCTTTGCACCCCACCAAGTATCCAAATACTGTGAGACACAGCTAGCTTTCTTTTATGTGCTGGTGTTTGTAGATTTGGGCAAGGGGGGTTGAAAGGAAGGGGGTATGGTGGAGTGACGTTTCTACAGGTGATTACTGAAGATGCAGAGGACAAGGAGAGATTCTGAGCCTTTGCCCTACACATCACAGGTCTCCTTGTCTACTCTTGGCCAGTTTTAAATCTGAAGTTTTATGGATAGGGCCTGATATTAAGAGCGTTCTCCTTGGACACAAGTAAAATCCGTTGTTCAGAACGGAGGTGGAGAGACTTGTGAAAGGCCAGTTTTTTGTAAGATTACGCAATGCTCTTAGAGTGAAAATGCCACTGTTTAGTGTGTATTAAATGGCATCTGAAGGTGTTTGGTAAATTGCGTCTGTGTCGATACACTGAAAATCTCAATGGGCCATGCAAAGAAGGCATTCAAGGTTCACGACCTCCACATGTCCTTCAGGAGTTGCATTTCCAAAGATGATGTAATACATGTTTTGATGTTTGTTTTGTAATTTTCTTTTTTTTTTTTTTTCGTGTGTGTGTGTGTGCTGGTTTGCTTTTTATTGGTGTCTGTAGCTCAAGTAAAATGCTTAAGACCAAAATATTTAAATAGTAGGGCTACTTTGAGATGAAATCTATATTCTTCTTGCTGCATAACAATATCTAGTGTTTAATAAAAGACCCCCACATCCTTGTTTTTTTTCAGAAAGATACTTTAAGGTCATACCCTCCTAAAGTGCCCCTTGTCCCCAGTAGCTGTGGGACAGGGCACAAATTCTTGTAAAGGACCTTAAGCCTGCGGCAGCATGACAAGAAACGAGAGAAAATGGTTGCAAACGTGGGGAGTTCTCACCTGGTTCATATTTGGATGGGAAAATCTCTTGGTTTTGATTTTGTTACAGGTGTTTGAAAGCTTTAGACGCGTCTGTTCAACAGATGTGGAAGTGGTATTAATTAGTATTGTTCGACTTAACGAGCATCTCAGTAGCTATGGACGTAGGCCTTTATAGACTAGGAACATAATGAAGCTGCCTAGTGACATGCTTGGAGCATGAGGTATTTAAACTGTTTATATATAAAGCCTAAAAGTGAAGTAGGAAAGGCAAAAAAATATTTAAAAAATGCTTTATTTCTGTAGTTGTACATCTACAGCTTTAAAACAATTGCCATAAGCAATAAGGTGGCACTAAATAACGGTTGTTTCTAATCGAGACGTTGGCTGGCCCCTTTTCAGTGTTCAATTTTACAAAAAAAAAACTGTTAATTTACCTGTAAAAAAAAAAAAAAAAAAAAAAATTCTAAATTTTTCAATTTTATCTTTAAAGATTTCTGCTAATGGGAATGATTTACTCAGTTGCTTTCTATACAAGAAAACTCATTTCGAATATTTGATAAGCTCAATAATTTTTTATATTTTTTTTTTTCCCTTTACCTACTTCCATGTTCTAAGTCTAGTTGAATGGTCGTGGGGTCGGCTCTACCACAGGTACGGGAGCTGTTGTATACCTCATTTTAAAACTTAATACAGAGTAATTTGCTTTAACTTTGTCTAGAAACCTTGCACCGCCGTTAACTTTGCCACGAGTAAGGTCGACCTATTGGCCAGTAGCACCATGGGGCAGATTTCTTGTACTATTTAAGTCCCTCCATACATTAGATCTTTTATACATTGAGGGCATATTGCAATCTCATGCTTTCTCTGTTAGAAGACGTTGCTTGATCGGAGATAGGTTCAAGTCTAAAGTAACACAATACTTCTGCCTTTTACATGATGCAAATGAATGCGTGCATGATATCATTTCCTGTAGTACACCAGGGGCCAGCCTAATCGTCTCCACTTGGTGCTACGCTAATACTGCGCTCATCAGCTGGCTGAACAAAATGGCAGTTGCAGTCCAAGTACCGGTGGAGATGCTTCAGGTGACCTCTTCTGTTACAGAAAGTGAAAGGTTTTGTGAAAGTTTAGAGTAAAAACTGCTAGAATTTATTGTACTTTTTCTACCTTGTTGATTCACACTGCTTTATCTCAATACTGACCAAAAAAAAGTGTAAATGCAAGTGTTAGTGTTTGGACAATCTTGCGTAACATCTGGTTTGGGAGCATCCTTGCTTCTCATCTACTGTTTTTACTCTGAATGTAGCAGTTCCTCCACCCTGTTCTAGGACATCTGTTGTGCCCACGTCGCTGTGCCGCCGCCGCTGCTGCTGTTAAGCGCCGGTGTCTGGTTTCTTTGTCTTGTTTTGTTACGTTTTAAATTTCCAGCCAAAACCAAAGATTTCTCTATGATTGTATAAACTGAAAACAAAAACCAAAAAATATATCTGTTGGAGAGAACATGTCTTCGTGTCCAGGTCTCGTCTGTGGCTGGTACAGAGGGGTTTCTAGAATTTGTATGTTTGAAATAACCACTGTTGTTGAGTTTGGGGCTTTGCCCTTGAGCGATCTTCTAGCCATGTCTCAGAGTGCCCGGTGCACTGAAGATGCCAGGGTTTTTCTGGCTCCTCTGGTGGGTTTTCCTTTATTTTTCCAGAGTCGGGAGGGCTGTTGATTAACTAAAGCAATGCATTTTCTAGGCTTCTCCGATCTGTTAAGTCAAACCCCTTGTGGGCTGGGTGATGTTGATTAATACACGCTGAGGTGCACTTTTTTTTTTTTCTCTCTTCTCACCCTTTCCTAGAAATAAACGGAACAAACTGTTAAACACATCCATCGCCCATAGCTTTCTCCTGGTTTGTGCTCCTCTCAGCGCCACATGCAACTATGCATTGTATTTTTCAACTTTTCTTGTGCTAGGTAGATGCCTGTGACTTTTTTAACTTTTTTTTTTTTTTTTGGGTGGGGGGGGGGGGAGAGCAGGGTGGGGTTGCAAATGAAGGAACTTTTTACATGGCTGTGGTTTTTTTTTTTTTTCTCTTCTATTCTCAGTTGTTTGTGGGGGTGTTGGTCGTAGGGTCATACAAGCTCTATCCCAAAGCAAAATCCAAATGTTACTAATTTTAGCCTGATGCAGATACCAAAGAAAATTTCTTTCCTGCAGAACCTTAGACTTGTGTATTAAAGTACTATTACCCAGCACTTGCATTAGTCTAACCTCAGTAATTCCAAAGCTTAGATGTATATTTTGGTATATTTCTGGGATATTAAAAAAATAGAAAAAAATAAAAAAATTGTTGTTGAAATGATGTTCGTTTCAGTGTAATGCTCTTAAAGTCATAGCATGGAGATTAACTGACCTGTCTTATTCTTAGTAGTTTGAAATAATAGTATTTTTGTATGTTTTGGGTGTGTCTGTGTATGTATTAACATAACAGTTTTCACTGCCTATATGTTCATATTAAAAATTGACTAAAAAAAATTTGGAAAAAAAAATGAAAGTTCTAAAATGTGTACATAATATTCAATAATGAAAAATGTCATCTGAACTCCAATTTCTGCTCATGTTTTCACTGATTACAGTTTCCACCTTGGGTGATTTTATATTTAAAGAAACTGCCGCCCTTGTTTCTCTTTGTTTTGTCAAAATGTAAATTGTTGTAATAATTGTGATGTGTTACCTTTAAATAAAGTGTATGAATTTTTACATTTTCTTTGTGTTGTTTGAAGGAACATGGGACAGCCTTAAACTGCTATGGACGTTCCTTCCAAAACCATTTTATGCTTTACTGATAGTGTGAAAATTGTTTTTATTAATATATGTCAAATTTAGCTCGGACCACTGCACCAAATAACCCATTGAATATTGGCACTGAATATATCTTGGAGCATAGTTGTTTTTCTTGTTTTTTTTTTTATTTTGCCCCTTAGATTTTGAATATCAAAAATAGGGGCAGACTGAAGACCATTATGCCTAAAATATTAAAATTTAGCACGTAAGTCAGCAATGGCTAAACATGGCATTAGAAATTTCTTGTGTGCTGAAGCATCATGGGAAACGCAGTGGTTCTTCATTATTCTAATGCATTTCAAACCAAAGTTAAAAAATAAACTGGTAAAATTCTCTTTACTGTTGTGTGTATAAATAACTAGCAAAACCAATCTGAAGTCACTTCTGTCAGACTATGAAAATACAACCATTTTAATGCAATATGATTTGTACACTTGACATTGGAGAAACTGGGTGACTGTCGCTTTAAAGACAACCTTGCATTTTTCCTAGTGGGACACCTTGGGGTGCTCACGAACTCTGAAAGATTATGTAGACTACAGTGAATCAGGATAAATGGTAGATTTTGTGTAGACGCATTTGTCTGCTGTAATTTTTTATATATATTAAACTTACTGTAACTGTACAGTTCATTTCTGTTGTAAACATCATTAAACCATTTTTCAAGTGTTTTAAAATGGCGTGAATTATTCTCTTGTTTTTTCTGAACGTTATTTTATCCATCGCAAACCTATACAGAGGAGATTAATGAAAGTCTCATGTCTGTTTAGAACGTTAGGTAAAAATACAAAGTGTGCTTGCAGTCTGTCAAACCATTGGTGCAGGTATCAGGGTCACCCTCCAAGGACCCTAAAATGAATACTGTAAAAAAAGAAAAAAAATACAATACCTCACTCCATATAATGTTATGCAAAAAAGTTTACGTTTATTATTATAGCAATCTATAATACATTTAACAAAATGCATAACATTCTATGGAGTGCGGTACTTAATTTTTGTTTTCTTTCCCTCACTCTCTCTCATTTAAATACTTCAAATATTTTAGATGTGGTAAACATCTGCAGTATTTAATTTTAACAACACACCGCGTTTAAACCGGCAATGACACTTTACATTTTTTTTCTTCTTTAATTATTCCTTTCTTTGTTTCTTAAAAGGGACACTGTATACCAATACAACTTTAATGTACTTGATAGATTTTGACCTAATAGGCTTTTTTTTTATTTTATTTTTTTGCATACTCCGTTTTTAAGCACAACAAATAAAGAGGGGGTCGCTGCTAGCAGGGGAGGGCTGGCAGCCTTAGGCCTGGGGGCAAATCCAGTCAAGTTGCCCACCAAAAGGAGAGTAAAAACCTTTCCCATGTGATTGAAAGGGTTGGGGGGGGGGGGGCCAGTCACCTTAACAGACACTTAATGACGGGCGCACACACATTTGCTGATTTGGCACACACACACAAAAAAAAAGACACACTGTTACAGGCATACTGACTCAGACAGACATACTGACAAAGACACACTGTTACAGGCATACTGGCACACACACAGGCATGCTGACGTGCGTGCGCACACATACTGGCGCACGCACACACAGACATACGCACACCCAAACTTTACACTTTTAAAACTAGTAGACAGGGGCTGAGTAAGGGGACAGGACTGTAGTGGGGGGACAGGGGCTGAAGTGGAGGGTATAAGCTGTAATTGGGGGTTTAGGAAATGTAGGGAGGGATAGAGGCTGAAGTAAGTAGGTTGATGGCTACAATTTAGGAAAGGGCTGTGGTGTGGGTGATATGGGTTGCAATTGGGGGAGGGGAGTTGTAGTGGGGGTGTTAAGGGGCTGAGGAAGGGGGCAGGAGCGGAGAGGGGGGAAAGGGTGGGACACGGGCTGAGGTGGGGAATAAAAAAAAAAAAACTAAAGTGTATCCCCCCTCCCCGAGTCTTACCTTAGGCCAGGGAGGGGTGGGCAGCAGTCAGTGAAGTCAGCCACTCCTGATGATGTCATGGGGAGGGGGCTTGGCTTCCTCTGCTCTTCTCCCAGACTCCCCAGTGGTCCTGGTAGAAGAGCGGTGAAAGTCACGCCCCCTTCTCCTGACATCAGGAGAGGCCGGCCCACTCCACTGGCTGCAGGGAGAGTGAGGGAAGTTGAAAAATCAAAGTCCTCAGCCGGAGGCAGGGGATTCGGATTTTAACTTTTTTTTGCTGGGGGCGGGGGGCAATTGCCTCCCTGCCCCCCTTTCCCAACCCGCCCGCCCCTGGCTGCTAGAAGGGGAGAGTAATTTATTCATGGGTCTTCCTTTCCTTAGACTGTCAGATACAATGGACACTGTGTGATGAGTGTGAGAAAGCGAGGGACATGGTGGTGAGAGGGATGTGTGTGTATTTGTGTTAAACTGCATATTTGTAAGTTTGTTTTATAATTGGGCTGGGTTTAACCCTCCAGAAACCTTCATTTAATAGACTGGATTTGCAGTGTTTAGTAGTTTTTAATAAATTGTAACATTGTTTTACACAGTCTGACATCCATGTGGGTGTGCCTGCTGAGGTTTAGATTGTCCGTTTGCTTTATACAGAATGGCTGCCTGATCATTTAGCCCCAGGAATCCCTTTCCACAAGTGTCAAACCAGGGGTGGCTAAGGTTATGTACGGTTATTTTGGAGCACACACAGCAACCGGACAGTCTGTCTCCCGAGACTTCTCTGCATGAGCATTTTGTTCTCCGTCCCCTGTTGCTATCAATCTGCTTTAAATTGCGATAGGAGTCCGAGCCAGTGCCACAAGGGACCACGCTAGAATTAAGGTAAGTTTTAAAAGGGTTTTAACCCATCTGTGCTTGCATGGGGAGGGGGGTTGCTAAAGTTAGTCTGGGCATACTATAGCGTTAGGAGTACAGATTTGTGTTCCTTAAGTCTGTTCTTATCCTATAAACCTCCATATACAGCAGAGGGTTTTTTTTTTTTTTGATAAGTAATTTATCCACCAAAGGCAGTTCCTCTCATCGGCCACTTTGTAAATTGATCGCGGCCATACTGCGGCTATCAGTATAAATTCGGCCCACTTTACAGTTTTGTGAACTGGGATATGTGCATTGATTACGTGAACAGCTGTCTATAGATACATCTGACTTTTGACTTTGATTTTGTAACTTGGCCTCACAGTTTTGTAAATACCAGCCTTTACACAGAATATTTCAATAGAAAAAAAAATTCAAACTGGAATCCATGTTATGTACGTATTTATTATAGATGTTTAAGCATAATTAAATGAAAAAACGGAGATCTACAAAGAAAATCTCAACATTGTATTTTTTGTGTAAAAAGTAAATATTTAATACTTTCAATAGTTTAATACTGAGCAATATTTAGATTAGTTATTAACTAAAGTGTGTTAAATTAAAAGTGAATTTCAAATTTTAGGTCAATATAGCAATCTGGCCTTTTAATTTTCTGGAGTACAACAATGGACAGTGACATGATATTTTCTAGAGAAATTAACTCTTAACTGGCTGGCTATCCTTAAATAAGCAATGTAGTCTTCAATATTTCATCATTCTGGGGATGCCAACAAGTGCAATTTGCAATCTGCAGATTTCTCAATTACCAGAATCGAACACCTCACTCAATTATACTCTGTATGTATAGGTTTGTATTTATAATATCTATATTTATAAACAGGGTTTATATAGAATTATTTTTAATATTTTAATTTTTAGGTGAAAGGGTGAAGGGTAGAATTAGTCATTGTCCTCAGTTGTTGAGGATGGACAGGGCAGTTGAGAAACTGGTGAATATATTTAAAGAGACATGATAGGTTTGCAAAAAAAAATGCCTTGATTTATAAAGACGGACCCAGGATTTCTCAACTGCACTGTGTATTGCTGGACTCGTAGGATGTTCGGCAGCAAAATCCTATACCTCTTCTCTTTCGGTCTGTCCTTTAAAAACAGCATTAGGAAAGCAAAGCCATATGTTTTTCATACATAAAAAAAAGTGTATATATAATATAGTGTGTGTGTAAATTGGAGAGATCCCTTCACAATGATTTCTTCTTCCCTCTTCTGTGTAAATGTGTTTTTCCAGTCCCAATGCACTATTTCCACTAAATTCTAAATACAAGGCAATGTGCGATCTCTGAAAGCGACAGGCTTGTGTTAATCAAGCAACATAGAGATGGTTTTGTTTTGGCATTTTGCATATCCTACATGACACACTGGTCTGCCCACTATAATAGTAGGCAGATCATATATATATAATCACACACACGTATATGCCTGACATGCTCACGGCTCTCTTTCGTATGATAATGGTCGTCGATTGGAGCGTAATCTAGATGGATCTGTTTTCGGATCTCTGAATTTGGCTGTAAATTGTCAGGAAACCTGCTAATGTCTGACCTTTGAGTTTAGGAATGACCTTTAGTTTTGGCCTAGAGTCTGTCCACATCGTGGTTGGCCTCACTACTTTCACTCGGTCCACTCAACGAATACCCCAAACTGTTTCTATAAAGTTCCTGGTACAGATTTCTCTTTTACAAAGTTCCAAGCATTTATTTTAAGCCAGAACCCTGATATAGTGTAAAGATTTGGGGTGAAATAGGTGAGCTTACAGTTTTCTTTCCTAACTTTGAGGGTTCTCTATTAGATCACAACGTGTGGACACAGAAATATTGAGATACCACAGGGCCCTAGGTACTTTACAGGCTTGGGCCACTCCTTCTGTTTTCACAGGGGGATGGTGAAAGGGGCCATGTTTAAATCCTGCCTAATTATTATTATTATTATTATTATTGCCATTTATATAGCGCCAACAGATTCCGTAGCACTTTACAATATTATGAAAGGGGATTTAACTATAAATAGGACAATTACAAATAAACTTACAGGAACAATAGGTTGAAGAGGACCCTGCTCAATCGAGCTTACTAATGTCACATTAGGGTTAATTCAGTTTTGTGCACAGCAGAACATCTATGCTTTAGTGACAGTCATGTGATCTTTGCTGAATTTCCTTTGGGGCATTTTACATTTTATCGAATCTGTCCTTAAACTACAATAACTGTGTTTAGAAATCAGTCTGTGTAAATAAGATACTGTTCTCTTCACTTTATAAAACTTATCACTAAGATATGAAATAACATGTGGAAGAGCCTGGGCTGGGACATGGGCCTGGCTCCCCTAAAATAAGAACCCCCTGCTTTGGACGTTTGAAATGATGGGGTGTAACTGAGAGAATCCCGGCTATATGGTGAGAATCATGGGGTTTTCTGGTAGTTGAACTTACATTAAGGTTATCTTTCATATGTTTTTTTTTTTTTTATAAGCAAATATATTGTCACGTTTGCAGTGGATCGTACACAGAGACCCTATACTTTGTCATCAAACTGGTGTGGATACATTGTCTCCCGCCCCCCTCCCCTCCTGCCTGCCTGAAAAAATTTTTTAAAAAAATTTAAGCTTTTCTATATACATTATTTTCTTAATACAAGACAGCTCAGGCTTTTAAATTTTACACAAACCATTTACATATTGAATGCTACAGTATTCATTTTTTATTTAAGGAACACTTTGAACTGGAAACTTGTAAAATGAAAACTCCCGTAATATATCTAATTACCGCTATATTAACTCACAATAAGATGTTACAATGTTTTAATTCAT